TCTGGGGCTGTCTGGACAGTTAGCACCAGAGCAAATGTGAAGGATAGAGCCAGGGTTGGGACCAGATGTTTCTGACTGCTTCCTTCTTCAGAAGGAATATTCTAGAACCAGGGGTACATCACCTGACAGGTAGCACTGCTCCTGTTGGGGTGTGTGTGTGTGTGTGTGCGTGTGTGAATCCCTAAGCCCCCTGAAACACGGTGGTCTTGGAAGACCCATTCTCCCTGGCTGTTGAATGAGGCCCTGAGAAGCCACGCAGCTTTGATGTCCAGCCTCTACTCTCTCGGTCAGGCTCGCGACTCTTCTGGGGTAGGAGTTGGATGGCCCAGAGGATGCTCAGAGGGGAAAAGAGTCCACATCAGGAAGGGTTTTCAGGAATAGTTATGGGGAAGAGATCCACTTTTCTTCAGTACTTGGCTGTGTTGCGGTTGGCCATCTTTTTCTTTTTCTCCATGTTGTCATTTAGAGCTGACAGCTTCCTCCTTTCAGCTCATTCACCCACCCGGTAAACTCCGTCTCCTTCCTGCTCTGTCATCACTGTAATGGTTATAATTTTGCCCTGAACGCTGCTGCCTTTTGTTCCCAAGATGCAAATACCACATTCCTCTCTAGAGCAAACGGGTCGGTCACAACCTTTTCCTTCCCTTTGGCTCTGCTTCCGCTTCATGGGTCCCGGGAACAAAGATCTGCTGGTCTCCTTCGCTCTCTTACCTCCTTCTGGTAGAGAGGAACAGTTCTACAGTCACTTCGTGTCTTCAGCCTACCCAGTCTCAAGGTACTTTTCTTGGTTAGTAAAGAAAGTTGCTTTCCAGATGACATACAGTAGGTTTAATTGGAGAAAATACAAAATGTAAAGGAGTAAAAATTCGCTGGTGCTAGTGGCCTTGTGCTTGTAATCCTAGCTACTCAGGAAGCTGGGATCTGAGGCTCATGGTTTGAAGTCAGCACAGGCAGACACATCTGTGAAACTCTTATCTCCAATTAACCAGAAAAAAAACAGAAGTGGAGGTGTGGCTCAAGTGATACAGCCCCAGCCTTGAGCAATAAAACCAAGTCAGAGTGTAAAGCCTTTGGTTCTAGCTTCAGTACTGGCATGCACACGTACACACATGTACACACACACACACACACACACACACACACACACCCCACAGCACTCACAATCCCACTCCCCACAGAGCAATCATGGTCAACATGATGATGTGTCTGCCCTGTGTGTCTCGAGTAATTGCGGTCATGTGTTTGCACTCACTCCAGTGACAGATGGCAGACCGTCCGTGTGACTCGGATTGTGCTACCAACCACGGCTGTACCACCTGCATCGGGAAGCTGAGTCAGGAATCTCACAGTCAAGACTACAGGGTTCACAGGAGACCCCAAGCTCTAAAGTCAGTCTGCCTCCTGCTTCTGTCCTACTCATAATAAACACACCTTTCCCACATCATTATAACCTGCCGGCTTCACGGCTCCCTCGCTTCTTCCCTTCCTGTTGATGGAGACCGACAGCACTCCCAGCTTTCCCTCTGATCAGTAATTCAACAGTGAACAGCTTCTAAGTGTCACTTTTCATGTTTCTAACTCCTTAATTTAGATTCTCCAAAGCCAATTTCTCCACTCAGAAACTTATCTGCTTGCTCCTTCCTCCCTCCCTCCCTTCCTCCTTTCCTTCCTTCCTTCTTCCTTCCTTCCTTCCTTCCTTCCTCCCTTCCTTCCTTCCTCCCTCTCTCCCTCCCTCTCTTCCTTCTTCCCTCCCTCTCTTCCTTTCTTTCTTCCTTCCTTCCTTCCTCCCTTCCTCCCTTCCTCCCTTCCTCCCTCCCTTCCTTTCCTTCCCTTCCTTCCTTCCTTCTTTCTTTCCTTCCTTCCTTCCTTCCTTCCTCCCTCCCTCCCTCCCTCCCTCTCTTCCTTCTTCCCTCCCTCCCTCTCTTCCTTCTTCCCTCCCTCTCTTCCTTCCTTCCTTCCTTCTTTCCTTTCTTCCTTCCTTCCTTCCTTCCTTCCTTCCTTCCTTCCTTCCTTCCTTCCTTCCTTCCTTCCTTCCTTTTCTTCCTTCCTTCTTCCTCCTTCATCATGGGGCTCAAACTCAGGGCCTGGGTGATGTCCCTGAGCTTTTGTACTCAAGGCTAGTGCTCTATCACTTTGAGTTGGAGATAAGAGTCTCACAGACTTTCCTGCCCAGGCTAGCTTCAAACCAGGATCCTCAGATCAGCCTCCTGTAGCTAGGATTGTTCACGTGAGTCACTAGAGCCTAGCTTGCTTGCTACCTGGTTGCCAAACGGTTTTGCAGAACTAAAGCAGTTGTTGCCCCCATCCCCACAACTGCCTTGGATGTCCCGCCAGCCTCTTCCAGATGTCCAGTTCTCTCCCTGGAATCCTCCCTTTGGTGATTCCCTGCGGAACTCTTGCCATTTTGATTACAAGTGAGGTTAGTGCTTTTAATGTTCAGATTTGCACTTCTCTGTCTGCTGGGTTTGGATTCTAAGCCAAGAACTCTTCCATTTTCCAAGAGGGTTAGGGACCACACACTGGGAGGCGTGCTCTGACTGTTTCTCCTTTTTCCAGCCAGGGTTTTCCGTTCCCCTCTCCCTTGAGGCACCCACCCTTTCCCGAGGCTTCCCTCAGGATCTTCTCTTCTCACTCTGCAGTGAGAATATTTTCCCTTGGGTCTTCGATTTCTTCTTTCAAAAGTCCAGCTTCTTTTACACCAGAATCTTAAATGTTGAAAGAATGTGTCTAGAGCATCCTAAACCCAGCTGGGTGCTGGTAGCTCACACCTATAGTCCTAGCTACTCAGGAGGCTGAGATGTGAGGATTGAGGGTGGAAGCCAGCCTGAGCAGAAAAGTTTGTGAGACTCTTAGCTCCACGTAGCTAGCAAAAAGAAGCTGGAAGAGGAGGCCTGGCCCATGTGGTAGAGTGCCATGAGTGAAAAAGCTTTAAGGGAGAGCTTGATGGCCCTGAGCTTAAGCCCCAGCACACACACACACACACACACCTGTCTATCTGCAGTAAATGTTATAGAAGGTGTCTAAACGAATACTAGGGCTCTGGAAAAGCAGCTGGCCTCAGAGAATGGATTAGAAACTAAAACCTTCCTTTAGGAAGCCTTGAAATGTCGGCACAGGGCTGCTGTCTGCGTATCTTCCATGGCTTTTCCATTCCTCATTTGGTGGAAATCTGATTCCAAAGCAAAAGCACACTTTTTTCCTTTGCAAGGCAACAGGCAGAGTTCAGTAGAAGCGATGAAATCACTCTCTGGCCGCCGGGGCTCTACTTAGAAGCAATTTGCTGTATGGCAGTCATGGTGAATACCGTGCAAGATTGATCTGTGGTTTTACCATAATGTATGTAAAGTACCAATTAATACTCCAGGCATCTCTTTGAAATGCCCTGGGAGAGAAGTAAAAGAAGCATGCATGGCTTTAAACAATTTGGGCCACTCCTTCTGGGCGGCTTCTAACTAGATGTTCAGATGCCGTGGCTCAGGGGCATTTGGAGCCGGCTGGGGCAGCTTGGTCTGGATGGAGGGCAGGGGTGTGGGCTGTGAGCTCAGCAGCAGAGCCCGGCGGGGACTGAGCTGCCCTGGGATTGAGTTCTGCGTCAGAAGCCACAGGAAGCAATGTGGAAATGGTTTCCAAATGGAAGGAGAGTTTGTGGTGGGGGATGGGAGTGGGGGTGTAGAGTCCCACGAATGACTTACCCAGTAGATGTGCCTATGGATTTCATACTGTTCCAGGCCCTCTCTGCCCAGCAGAGAGCAAGACAGACACAGGCTTGCATGCAGCATGCTCCCAGAGGCCAGGCAGCTCATTAAACAAGGGCTGACAGGAACGGCATGGTACAGGGTAGAAGCCTGGGCATGGTGACCTGTCTCCCCGAAGAAAGACTGTGCACCCCGAGCCTGGGAGGTGATGGAGGGAGAGGAGTCTGGGGAACAGAGCTCCAGACGGAGCTCGGGGGGGGGGGGGTTGGGGTTGGTCTGGGATGGTTCTCTGGTTGAGCTACCGATGGGAAATGTGGAGGGGGTGATGGAGGAGGAGGGGGAGGTGAGTCTCAGACCGAGGAAAGGCCTGGATGGAAATTGTGGGCAGTTGCAGAGTCTCTGAGTCTGGGAGACAGGAGGGGAAGGAGCATGGCGGAGTGAGGGGGGCGACGGTGGGCAGGGACATCTCCATCTCTTTGGTCCCTGGCAGGTGGCTCTGCTGACAGCTCCCTGACCCGCACACCTGCTGTAGAGTTGCCATCATTCAAGGCTGCTTTCCCCCTTGGCTCCACTGGGTCAGAGCTAAGCTTCCTCTTCCTCTCCTGCCAGGATTTCCGGTCAATACGGGACACTAGCTCTTCCCAGCTTGTGGGCTCAGCGCGTGGCCGACGGACGGGAGCCCCGGGCAGGAGGCTCGAGGAGTCTGCTCGAGGAGCTGTTATCCTCTGGCCCTGTGAACCGGGCCGTCGGGGGGTGGCTGCATGCAGCTGGGAGGGGCCAGGGAAGAGAAGCTGAACAGCGAAGTGAAGGATTGACTCCCACCCTGTTTCCCAGGTGCATACAGATACCAGGCAAGCCACCAAAGAGGAGTGCAGACTGCCCGACCCCAGCAGGCGATCTCTCTAAGCGGCTGTAAACATTCCATCTTGGGCCCAACTGAACCCCCCCCCCATTTCCCTTGACATAGTGGCTTTTTCATTAGCCTCTGCCTCCTCCCTCAGACCTCCTATAGACCCAGCTCCTGTCCCAGCTCTACACACAGTCGCCAAGCCCATGGGAAGGCTCTATCTCAATAAACAGTCATCATCTGTGGAAGATCGAGTCCGGCCTGTCTCCTTCCTTTCTCTTCCATTTTCTTAACACGAAGTGCCATGAGTTCCTGTGGCAGAAGAGACCCAGGGGCAGGGGTGCGGTCACCCCAGAGGATGCTGTGCGTGGCAGGGAGGAGAGGCTGGGGAGGGGTGTGGGGCTGAGCATTGAGGGGCGCCCCTTTGCTGGTTCTAACACACACTTCCTTTCTCAGACAAGATGTCTTTCGAGGGAGCCAGGCTCAGCATGAGGAGCCGGAGGAGCGGCGCGCTGGGCAGCACGCGGACTCTCTACTCCAGCGTATCTCGGAGCACAGACGTGTCTTACAATGACAGTGTAAGTCGAGCGTGTCTGCCGCTGGACACAGACACTTCGCAGTTAGGATCATTTTTTCTGGCCTATCTGCCTTCTTTGAAAAGCTAATGCCTCCTTATTCTGCGTAGCATTTTGTTTTGTGGCTTTTGTTTTTGTCCAACAAAGAATCCTTCCATTTCCATGTTGTGTCCAAGCATTTCTATGGCAGGCACTTCATTTCTGTTTCTTTTCTTTTTCTTTTTTTGTTGGTTGTGGGGCCTGCACTTTGGGCCTGGGTGCTGTCCCTCAGCTCTTCAGCTCAAGGCTAGTGCTCTACCACTTGAGCCACAGCGCCACTTCTGGCTTTTTCTGCTTATGTGGTGCTGAGAAATCGAACTCAGGGCCTCATGCATGCAAGGCAAGCGCTCTACCAGTGAGCCACCTTCCCAGCCCCTCATTTCTGTTTCTTAATAAGTCCTTATCTCATTCCTCCGCTGATAACGTTTCAGAGAATTGAATCACTAGTCATGGAATCAAGACAATGCTTCAGAGTGACATCCGGGTCTCTCTGACTATAGGGTTAAAAGTCAGGAAAGCTGCTAAACACTGGTGACTCACATCTGTAATCCTAGCTACTCAGGAGGCTGAGACCTGAGGATCATGGTTCAAAGCCAGCCTGGGCAGGAAAGTCCATGAGGCTCCTACCTCCAATAAACTAGTAAAAAAAATTGCCTGAAGTGGAACTGTGGCTCAAGTGGTAGAGCACTAGCCTTGTGTACAAAGAAGCTCAGGGACAGCTCTGAGTTCAAGCCTCAGAAATCATGCACTCGCACGCATGCACGCACACACACACACACACAGAGTCAGGAAAACAGCTAGCTTTGCAAAGAACGGGAAGGCTGGGGAAGGAGCTAGAATGCAGTGTGCAGAGGTTGGTGCTGACCATGTCAGAATTTTGATCTGATTGATGGGTTACTTTGTGCTGTACCACTGAACTGTAAGAAGCACACGTGCACACGCATGCACACACACACACACACACACACACACGCACACACATTATCAGGTAAAAACGGCTCCCCAGAGAACAGCAGAATTCTCTTATTGTTGTACTTGGTCCCATTTTAAAAATCAGCTCTCCCAATCTGGAAAGATGTCACTGCACAGTAGCTCATTAAATGCAGCTGTGGCAGAGCAGGGGAACTGCTGTGGGCCACGGAGCAGGGGTGCACATTGCCCCACAGGCACGGACAGCACTGTAGGATGTCTAGAATACCAGAGGAGACAATTAAGCAGCCATTTTCCGAGGCTTGATTCTACTTTTCTAGCAGAGGCTCAAAGGCTGGCACTGTACAGCTTTGTAAAGAAATAGCCTTTCTCAGGATTTCACGTAGTTAATGGCATGGTTCTTCATAAATAAGCTAAAATCCACATTTTTAAAAGCCAAGGAAGCGGGCTGGGAAGGTGGCTCAATGGTAGAGTGCTTGCCTTGCATGCATGAGGCCCTGGGTTTGATTCCTCAGCACCTCAGCAGAAAAAGCCAGAAGTGGCCCTGTGGCTCAAGTGGTAGAGCGCTAGCCTTGAGCTGAAGAGCTGAGGGACAGCACCCAGGCCCAGAGTTCGGGCCCCACAACCGACAAAAACAACCAAACAAAAAACCAAGGATGCAAAAGCAACCAAACCAAACAAAGCCCCAGCCACTGGATTTACAGAATGGAAGCACAACACAGCCTAGTCAGGCCTTGGACAGCCTGCGTGTATGGATGGCAAGGGCATCTCTTATTTAAGGGAAGTTTGTGGTTTAGAAAGGCTTCGATCATCAAAGTAAGTGCCTAGAGGTGCCCAACTACTTTGCTGTTGATGAGATAAATGCAACTATGAAAAGTGTCTTTGTAATGTCTTATAATTATAAAAATATACAAATAGTGTGTTATATTCTCTGACATCTATCTTCTCCCTGTTGAATTTAGAGTCAGAAAAATGCATGTGTGTAATGCCATTGATGAACAAGATAACTCTATGTAGCTCTTGCATAAACTCGCACTTAGTTATACAATTTAAATGTATACCTCTTTTAAAAAGTCATGTACACTAAAGGTATAAAGAGGTGCAGGATGTTATGAGCAGACTAAATAACGTCAACCTTTGAAGCAGGGTTAGGATATACTTGCTGTTTCCTGAAATCAGCAGGAGATGAGAATAAGCGAGTAATGTGTTACCATGCTCTCTCCCCAAAGGACTTGGTCAATTTCATTCAAGCAAATTTTAAGAAACGGGAATGTGTCTTCTTCACCAAAGATTCCAAGGCCACGTAAGCTACCGTTTTGGCTTTTGCGTTTAAACATAAGTCATCATTGTGACACATAGACATGCTCATTATAAAAGCTGTTGTCATCCTTCCCAGAAATGGTATGTCATCCAGACAGACTCGGCAAATGGCTGGTCATTGTTCCCTGGCTATGTCATTTCCTGTATACTTTTAGCTCTGGCAATATGGCAGAGTTGGTTCAGCCATCAGTCCATCAGTCTGGGCGCTGGCTTGATGACTTTAGTAATGAATGAAGCTTTCTAGTAGTAGCTAGGCAATGGCAAGCATGTGGCACATAAGCAAATCACTGGCTCTTCTGGGCCTCTTCTTCCTCACTGGGTCTTTGGGCCTTCTCTTTTAATTGGCCGTTCATTGGCTGTGTGTCTTGTGTGGGAACATGGAGGTTGGGTTACACATCTGACACACAGGAGATACTCAACGAATGTGACTGGGTGAGTGAGTGGATCCTGCTGGCTGTTCTTGTAGAAGATGGACCTGGATGGAGTCAAAATAATCCTGACTCCTGGTCTTCTTACAATCCTCTGTCTTGTCTCTTTATTCCGTGTGGGTGATGAAGAAAAGAGTGTCTGTAGGAAGGGACTGGAAGTTGCTGCAGTAGTGTTTAAAGGGTTGAGCTTCTGTTGCATCCAGGGAGTGAAGAGAGCAGGGATTGCAGAATGGAAAGGAACTTTAGAACCAGCTCTGATTCCAGCCATGCCGGGGCTGTCTCCTTGCTGAATGACCTTGAACCAGTTATTCCTTTTCCTGAATTGAATTTTCTTGTCCTAAAAACGTAGCAAAAATATGCCTTCTGGGTTAAGGATGGGCTAATGAAGCAGCACATAAAATACCTACTGCAATTCTCCAGAGCTTCCAAGTTTCTCAACAGATGTTTCTTAACTCAGTGTGAACTAGACAATGAGCATTAGAAAAAGTCACAGATCTCCATCTGTCATGGGCCATTTTGACGGGGTATGAACTGTGTGAGTCAGATCCTTCATCCCTGAACATTTCACGGAAATATTTTTCTGTTCATCTATCCATTTGACTCACAAAAACACAATTTATTGGTTTATCCAGCTCATATTTTCTGAGCATCTGCTATATAGTAGGACTTTATACACTTGATTTCTAATACTATAAATACTCTTTGTTGAGTGGCTTTTTTTTTGGTGGGTCATGGGGTTTGAACTCTGGGCCTGGGCACTGTCCCTCAGCTCTTCAGCTCAAGGCTAGCGCTCTACCACTTGAGCCATAGCACCACTTCCAGCTTTTTTCTTTTTGCTTATGTGGTGCTGAGGAATCGAACCCAGGGCCTAAGGCATGCAAGGCAAGCGCTCTACCACTGAGCCACCTTCCCAGCCCCCAGAGGCTATTTTTTGAATGTTCTTATATGCCAGAGACAGTGAGACAGGGGATGTAGAGAGTTTAGCCAGATGAACTCTTAAGATTTCTTCAGCGTCTACATCTTTATTTGACTCCGCATGTAGAGAGACTTTAGGGTCATCAATGTAATGTGTAAGGGTGTGCCGCGTAAGCAGGCGGCAGTGGGGCGGGGCTGTGAATTGCGCTGAGCTCTGTGGTCTGTTGCAGGCCGAGGCCCCTTCTTTTGTTGTTGTTGTTGCTATTGCTCATATCTAGAGAACCAGCTGGTTCTGGAACAAATGACCCTGGAATGACTTTATAGATTATTATTTGTTGTTGTTACTGTTATTATCATTGTTTATTGCACATTTGTTTCTTTTTGGTTTGAATTATGTTCACGTACCACCATCAGCTGAAGGTCACTATGCACCAGGTCCCCTGGACACTACACCATTTCCTATCCTCACAGCCAGCCTGAGAGGACAGAGATCATGTCAGACAAATAAAGGTGTCTTGTCTGTTCCTCAATGCTCTTTGCCAGGTTTACACTTCCCTGTTCCCAGGAGAGGCGGAGAAACTTGAGAGCAGGAGTCCTATCTGGCTTGGTTTGGGCTGTTGTAAGAGCTCATGCTAGGTGTCAGAGTGGATTTTCCATCAATATTTGTTGAATGACTACAGTGTGTTGTGGAAGGGAGAGAGGAAGTGGATTTATTTACCATTTACCACATAGTTTTTTTTTTTTTAATGTCCTTCCAATTTCCCTTCATTCCTGTGTGTCATCTAATGGGCAATTACATTCAGTTCTATTGTGTTTTTAATGGGAATAACTAGTGGTGATTTATTGTAACACTTTGTCCTTGTATAGTTCAGATCATTGAAAGTCTCCCAAATAGCTAATGTCCAGTAGAGAAAAGGATGGTCTCTTGAAATTCTGTAACACTCTGGACTTCTGCCCAAGGGTCTGTGTCTCTCCTGTGAGTAGCTCACAGGAAATTTGCTCATCAATCTTTGGAGGGGCTTCACTACCTGGGAAAACAGAAGGAATGGGACTGGGGTCAGTCATAAGGACTCTGTGTGTTAGGGCCTATGTGAGAAGCTAGCTACACGGTTCCCAGGTTTCTGAATCCAGTCCCAGAACAGACTATGGACTTTGAAAGGGTTTTCCTTTCTTACTCTGCCTGCCCCCAGCACACCACCAGCTTATGGATGTGCAGATTCAGGAATAAAACACCACAGTAGTTTCTAGACAACCTAGTGAGATGAGGAAGATAAATATGAAAACAAGACATGGAAGTAGAATTTAATGTGTTTATATAAGTTATCATATTCCAAGAAATGTGATAAACTATTTAAGCAATTTGAGTGAAATCTGTTCCTTCCTGTCACTATTGTCTGGCTCAGGGAGAATGTGTGCAAATGTGGCTATACCCAAAGCCAACACGTGGAAGGCACCCAGATTAACGACAATGATAAATGGAATTACAAGAAACACACCAAGGAGTTTCCAACAGATGCCTTTGGCGATATTCAGTTTGAAACGCTGGGAAAGAAAGGAAAGGTAAATAAATGATTTTTTTTTTAAACTTGGGTCCTTTATTTGTTAAAACACAACTTGGACTCCTTTGAGTTACCTTTATGTTGTCTATTAGGGTGGGGGTGGGAGAGATGGGAGGCAGCTACCAGAAATGGTTGCAGATGAAGATGAAGTGACTAGGTTGTGCCGTTCAACTGGAAAAACCCAATAGGTAAGGGCAGGATTACCCCTGGTAATTCCACCCCCACTTCTGGTGTGTGGTGTTCCTGATAACACACACAGCCCCGAACAAGGTACCCTGCAAGCTGTGCGGGAGGCGTGCGATGATCAGAACCTGAGCCTCCCCAAGCCTTCTGATGCTCTGTCTCAGGGACAGCTAGGCCGGTGGGAAGCGGGGCCCGGCTCATCCCCGGACGGCGTCCCGGTCATCCCCGGGCCTCCGGGTCATCTCCGGGCCTCCCGGTCATCCCCGGGCCGCCCAGGGCCGGCCCTCCGCAGGCCTCTGCCCCGCCATGGGGGCAGCGCCATCTCTTGCCTCCTGCCTTGGCCCAGCTCTGCTGCGGGGGGAGGCAGGCACCTGAAAGTAAAGCCATGTCCTTCCAGGACGCCCCCGACCCCCCAGGGCGGCAGGGGCCCCCCAGATCCCTGGCCCGGGTCATCCCGCCCGGAGCTCCGCCCTCCCCAGATCCCTGGCCCGGGTCATCCCGCCCGGTGCTCTGCTCTGCCCAGATCCCTGGCCCGGGTCATCCCGCCCGGAGCTCCGCCCCCCCAGATCCCTGGCCCGGGTCATCCCGCCCGGTGCTGCCGTCCTCCCCAGCTCCCTGGCCCGGGTCATCCCGCCCGGTGCTCCGCCCTGTCCAGCTCCCTGGCCCGGGTCATCCCGCCCGGTGCTCCGCTCTGCCCAGATCCCTGGCCCGGGTCATCCCGCCCGGTGCTCCGCCCTGTCCAGATCCCTGGCCCGGGTCATCCCTCCCGGTGCTCCGCTCTGCCCAGATCCCTGGCCCGGGTCATCCCGCCCAGAGCTCCGCCCTCCCCAGATCCCTGGCCCGGGTCATCCTGCCCGGAGCTCCGCCCCCCCAGATCCCTGGCCCGGGTCATCCCGCCCGGTGCTCCGCCCTGCCCAGATCCCTGGCCCGGGTCATCCCGCCCGGTGCTCCGCTCTGCCCAGATCCCTGGCCCGGGTCATCCCGCCCGGTGCTCCGCCCTGTCCAGATCCCTGGCCCGGGTCATCCCTCCCGGTGCTCCGCTCTGCCCAGATCCCTGGCCCGGGTCATCCCGCCCGGAGCTCCGCCCTCCCCAGATCCCTGGCCCGGGTCATCCTGCCCGGAGCTCCGCCCCCCCAGATCCCTGGCCCGGGTCATCCCGCCCGGTGCTCCGCCCTGCCCAGATCCCTGGCCCGGGTCATCCCGCCCGGTGCTCCGCCCTCCCCAGATCCCTGGCCCGGGTCATCCCGCCCGGAGCTCCGCCCTCCCCAGATCCCTGGCCCGGGTCATCCCGCCCGGTGCTCCGCCCCCCCCAGATCCCTGGCCCGGGTCATCCCGCCCGGTGCTCCGCCCTCCCCAGCTCCCTGGCCCGGGTCATCCCGCCCGGTGCTCCGCTCTGCCCAGATCCCTGGCCCGGGTCATCCCGCCCGGTGCTCCGCCCTGTCCAGATCCCTGGCCCGGGTCATCCCGCCCGGAGCTCCGCCCTGTCCAGATCCCTGGCCCGGGTCATCCCGCCCGGTGCTCCGCTCTGCCCAGATCCCTGGCCCGGGTCATCCCGCCCGGGGCTCCGCCCTCCTCGGCAGGGCCCTGCCCTGCTCCCATGGGTCTCCCAACAGGGTCCTAACGTTGTCCCCATCCCCCCCACAGTATATCCGTTTGTCCTGCGACACAGACGCAGAAACCCTCTACGAGCTGCTGACCCAGCACTGGCACCTCAAAACACCCAACTTGGTCATTTCCGTGACCGGAGGCGCCAAGAACTTCGCCCTGAAGCCGCGCATGCGCAAGATCTTCAGCCGGCTGATCTACATTGCCCAATCCAAAGGTGTGCGCCTGCGCAGTACAGTGAAACAGCTGCGCTCCTACCAGGCGCCTGCACAGCACAGCTCCACGCCTGCGCGGTACAACTTGGCTTCTGTGGGGCTGGAGGCAGAATTCCCACAGATTTCCCAACTGCGGGTCAGGATCCTTCTAGAACCGTGTGACATTGTCTGTTCTTTTATAGTCTCAAATAGCCTTAAACGCTTGGACAGTCAAAGCGGTCTGGAAAGATGGTTTTTTAAAGTAGCTCTTCATGTCAGCATTCAGGGGCTGCTTTAGGGGTCATTTTATTTTCACTTTTAAGCAAGTTGCTAAGGTTTACGATGTTCATTTATTTACACACATAAAATGGTACTCAGAAGCATTCTGCTGAGTCGAAATGGAAAATTTTATTGGACTGTTACTTTTTAATATCACTGACATATATACATACATAGATATATATTCAAGACAGAGCATAGGAACCATTTGAGTGACTGAGTTAAAACCCTTTATTGATGATTTGAAATAGGCAGATTAGCTTTTTTATTCTTAACATTTTTATTTTGAAAATTTCCAAGTGTATTGAAGGGGTAGGGGTAGGAATAATATATAATGTGTGTTTCTCCCAGACTTAATATTTGTCTTTCTTGTTTCATAAATATCTAAGGATTATAGGTTTTGAGAATAAGTCATAGGTATCCTGTCACCCAGGTTTGTCAGTGTGCTTCTCCTAAGAGCAGATTATTTTTATACTTCCTAGCAAAAGTTTCCAGCCTGAGGCACTTAACCCAATTTTCTTTAGAGCAAATTCATTTTTCTGCATTTGGATTCCAAACCCATTTGCCATGTGTGTGTGTGTGTGTGTGTGTGTGTGTGTGTGTGTGTGTGTGTGTGTGTGTGTGTGTGTGTTTCCCCTCAGCACAGGATCTTAGCCTTTTCTTGCCTCCATCACTGCATAAAGAGCAAATGTCAGCAGCTTGGTAGATTGTCCTTCAATTTAGGCTTGACTAGTGTTTTCTCATAATTAGATTCCATTCATCTGAGTTGTGGAAACTTCCTTTTACAAAGATGAGTTGACTGACAGAAGAAAGGAAACATCTTGTTTACGATGTAAAAGACACTGAACCTTCCCCTCCTGTACTATTTTCAGCTTCTTATTCAACCGGAGGAGGGGTTATTGTGGGTAGTTATTTTAAGAAATGGCATAATTTTGTTCCTCACTGCTAAATCCTGAACACCTGATAGTCATTCATTCAACAGTATGTACTAAGTGCCTATTTTGTGCACAGAATTGTCTTCCATGCTAGCAGAAGGAAACAACAAAGTCACTGGCCAGGAAGAATGCGCCCTTCTTCTACTTATATCAGTGAGGAAGGTTTCGTTTAGATTGCCCAGAAGTGTGTGTCCATGGTGCACATACATGTGTGTGCATATTGTTAATACTGAGGCTTAAACTCAGGGCCTTGGACCAGATCAGGAAGGTACTTGTCTCCTAGTTTTTGGTGTTAGTCACTTCTGGTTCCCTCATTTTAAAGGGGGAGGGATGGGAGAGGGATGTAGACCTTGTGAAAACTGGCTGGAGGAAGTGGGCATGAAATCTCCAAGGGTCTTTTTTGCAGTTCATCTTAATTACTGGAAGGTCTTTGATGAAGGAGCTCACCAAGCTTCTCCTTTATGTCTGAAGACAATTGTGATAGTTCTTGCATGGGCAATATATCACAGTAGAGTCTATGCTAAATAATATGATTTCAGATATTATAGTACTTTGATTTTGTGCAAATGGCCAAAAGCCTAAAATCCTTTCTTTTTTGCACTGAGAATATTGCCAAATACAAGTCCTTAAAAAGCCTGAACATTTAATGCAATAATAAAGCAAAACAAAATTACTGGCAGCAGGGCCATTTGAGGATCATTCACTCTTCCCTGACTGACGTGGAGTCAGTGGACCACTGTTGGAGCTGCACTGACCGGCTCTCGTGGTCAGGTGTTCACTGTCCTTACAACGACTCCCTTAGACACTGAGTATTGAGAGATTTGCTGGTCTCACCCCCTCAAGAAGCTGAGGTCTAGACTGGGGTCTGGGGCCGGTGTTTTCTGTCAAGCTCATTGCTGGACACTTGAGGACCTTCCTTGCCTTGCAGTGGTGGGTGAGGCTATCCCACAGCGTGGCGGCCCATGCAGTGTGTCCTGAGGCTCGCAGACAGCAGAGCAGGGCTTCTCTAGGAATCTGTAAGCACAGGATGGAAATCTGACTCCTCACCCACTGGCGTTCTCTGTTCACCCAAGGTGCCTGGATCCTCACTGGAGGTACTCACTATGGCCTGATGAAGTACATCGGGGAGGTAGTGAGAGACAACACCATCAGCAGGAATTCTGAAGAGAATATCACAGCCATCGGCATCGCAGCTTGGGGCATGGTCTCCAACCGTGACACGCTCATCAGGAATTGCGATGATGAGGTACGGGAGACAGGGGAAGGAGACCTGCCAGGGCTTGTGGGAGAAAGACCAAGGCAGGGGGGTGGGCTCTGTGATTAGCCAGCTCCTGGTGAAGCCTGCCATTCAACAACAGCATTTGGAGCTCAGACACTGACAACTAGGTACTCAAAACTCTTAAGGAAGGGGCTAGTGATAGATGCGTTTTCTGCATTAACATCTGTTTCCAGCAATCTCATGTTACGTCCAGGTTCTTCATTCTTTGTAATCATAATCTGAATGTATCCTGGAAGAATTGAGATGCTGGGGTCATCCTTTATTGCTGTACCTTGCTCATCGCAATTCAGATTGATAGCTACTTATTGTTTGTTGTTTAGGATTAGGAAGGCTGTGAGGTCCACCCCACTGAACCTTTCCTGTGAACGTATATAGCGATGAATGTGTATTTCATGTTTAAAATACAAGGTGGAAGGGGAGGCATGGCTCAAGTGGTAGAGCAACCAGCTGTGAGTAAAAAAAGCTAACTAAGAGAGCAAGGCCCTTGAGTTCAAGCCCCAGTACTGGCTCTAAATAAATGAATAAAAAATAAAATTACAAGGTAGAAAACAACAAGTGCTCTCTGCTCAGAAGACTTGGCTCAGGACATCTGGATGTTGAGAAATCCAAATGGAACCTACACTTCCTTCTGTCTGGGCTCCATAAATGTCTAGACAGTAAATTTTAAGGAGTGTGAGGTTAGTTATGGCGGCTTTAAATTTTACTTTCTTGTCTATGGTACCGTGTTTGAGACTTCGAAGGGGAAGCAGAGAGCAGAAGGCATTTCTTGATGGCTTCAAAGAGGCAGGCTGATGAGGAGAGAGGAGACTGGCCTTCCGGAGCCACCCGGGGGCATCCTCATGAGTCTGTTCATTTCTCTGAGTTAAAAAATAACTTTGCATTATGATGGGATAGTTTTATCGAATTGTGCTTTTATTACTATTATCAAGTGCTTGATAAAGAATGGCAAAATGGTCGCCTATCAAATGCTAACTTCAGAGATGAGTGACCTGAATCAGGATGTGGAGGGCAGTGGCAGGCTGGGCAGGGCAGAACACCACCCATCATTGCTTTCACTATTGGCTTGTTTGTTACAAATATGGAGTCAGGAAGTGGCACTGTGGCTCAAGTGGTAGAGTGCTTGCCTTGAGCTGAAGAGCTGAAGGACAACACCCAGGCCCAGAGTTCAAGCCCCAGGACCGACCAAAAAAAAAACAAAAACAAAAACGAAAAACAAATATGGAGTCAGCTTAGAGTTCATTCCATTATGGCAGATACACCACAAAACCATAAAACCACCCATAAAGTAAAACTTTCTTGAAGCTGGGCTCCAGAGGCTCACACCTGTAACCCTAGCTGAGATCTCAAGAGGCTGAGAACTGAGAATTACAGTGTAAAGTCAGCCCAGGCAGGAAAGTCTATGACATTCTTATCTCCAGTTAACCAGCAAAAAGACAGAAGTGGAACTTTGGTCAATAGGTAGAGAACCAGACTTGAGCAAATAAAATCTCAAGGATAATACCCAGGACCTGAGTTCAAGCCCTAGAACTAGCACGTACCACACACACACACACACACACACACACACATACACACACATGTACACAGTAAAACCTTGAATTGTAGCAATATTTTCCTGAGTACTTATTCTGTGTAAGTAAAATTCAGAATAAATATGTAAAATTCATAACAGAAAGCGCTAACCCCCTGGAAATTAAGAAAGGACCAACTAACCATGTGGCAAATAAATGTTAGGTCAATAGTGCAATTTTAAGAATATGATGTTTCTTAGAAAGCACTTAGAAAGCATTGCTAATGAAAACAGAGTTATCAGTTTTCCAGTGTGGACAAAGCTACATTCAGGAAAGAAATTCGTGCCCTATAATCTTCATTAGTAAAAAATAAATAGTTCAGTAATCATCATTATAGGAGCTGAAGCTTATTTGACAACACTACACAACAGGTTCTATTTAAAGTGTTTTACACATACTGATTCATTCATCTTCACAACAACCCATCAGGAAGGTACTGCAATTATATTCTCATTAGAGTTGAGGAAACTGAGGCATGGAGAATTAAGAAAATCCCTGAACTCACAATGTAGTCAGTGGCAGAGTCATGTCTCATGGTCCTTTGGACACTGTAATTTCCAAATAAATTAATTTAGAAAGTAATGCCACTGGCACAACTCAAGGAAAGCAGGAAAAAATGTTCAACCAGAAAAGACTAAAAATTACCTTTTTGTTCTTTGAAATAGCTTTAACAAATTAAGGAATACATAGACCTGAGAAATTAAATGTAATACTGAAAAAATACTCTGAGGATGTGACACATCATGACATACCAAGAATTCTGAAACTCTCATGAAAAGTAAAATTTTTCTATAAAGCTAAACTTCTCCAAAGTTGATTCAAGAACTAGGAAATATTAATAGAGAAATTGTCAATGATGGTTCTCTAAGGAAACTAAAAATTATTCTCTAAATTGCTCCTGAGTTAGATGATTTCACCTAGCCAGTAAAACATAAAAGTGGTCTAGTCATTTTTGATTTTATAGCTTTCCATTACACACAAAAGTATGGGATCATTGCAGATTCCTGAAGAACAAGCAAATTTTTGTGTTCTTTCTAGAAAAATATCTAAAAATATATATGAAGAGCATAAAATTATACTTCTAGCAGTCACTAGGGAATTTAATGTTTGGGCAGAGCTATTCATTCAAGTACTTAGCATTCTTACAAGACCTAAATATCTAATAATACCTACTATAGATATTTATTAATAGGTATTTGTCATCTAGTAACACTTATTAAGGATACCTTCAGGAATATTATATTGCTATATGAAAGAAAATTACAGAGTTATCAAGATCTTTCCAAAGATGTTTCAATAGTATGGGAAATATTTTTAATTTTAAGTATAAAATCATGTGACACATGTAGAAAAGAACTGTTCTTAAAATCTTGATGCTATCACTGAGTCATAGCATGAAGCATAATGTTAATGCTCCTCTTTCTGCACATTTCATTTCTATAGTAAACATGTATTGTTTTTCAGTTCCTCAATTATAGTGCTGGTTTCTATTCCTTTTATATGTCTGCTAATGACCATCTCCAGTGACTTAATTCAGTTTCATGGCAAACTCCTATCATTTTGTGGTTGGCTTCCTGGCTTCTTTACTGTGTCTTTGAATGACAGTGTTTGGTTTTTTGTGGAGACCAGTGGTTCGTAATAATTTTGTTGGGCCTCTCTTTTTGCGTGGTTTCTACTCAAGGCTTCTTAGCAAACCCCACTACGGGCAGATGAAGCTGGAAGGCTGTAACATCACCAAGACTGAAACAATGCCATGTTCACAACACTGAAATTTACCCTGCTTTTAGGAACGCTTTCAGAATTTTCTCTCATTTCCCATCATATTTTTTCCCCTAGTGTCAGTACTGTAATTTAAAAATGATTGTGGTATTAGATATGCATTTAAAAAAGTAGCCTGGGCCTCTACTCATTTTTCTTGTTTTGCAAACTTTTCTAGGCTATTTGTTGTTGAGAGATTAGAGAGAGCCTGTTCTCCCTGGAGCACTTGAGGAGGAGGTTTAAGTGTTGTTAAAGCACTGTTAAATCGTTAAACCACTGTTAATGTTCATGATCAGCCTTTGTTAAAAACACTTCTTTTTAGTTTTACTTTTATTTTAAATAGACTAAGACGGGCTAGAGTGATTTGACTCTGTAATTGCACGTTGGACACCCTCTCAGGTACCCTAGCTGGCTGAATAAAGTTGGGCTAGCTTCTTAGAAGACTCCATGGAAAACTCAAGGAAACTACATTGGAATCCCAGCTGCTTTCTGCCAAGCAGAAGCCAGCTTCAGGAGGACTGTCCCGGCCAGGCCGTTCCTAATCGCTTGTGCTGGACTGAAGAGCCTCTCATCCTCTACCCACAACCCCTTTCTGGGTGGAGCCAAGGATCCTACACAGCCAGCTGATTTGTAATGCTATCATGGTTTTTCCACTCAGACTTCAGAATACCATTTTCAGATACAATCACAGGGACAAAGCAATAACAACAAAAATGTGAAGTCACTGAGTAGAATCATAGTACATCTTCAATGGGGCCTGGAAATAAAGTCACTGTTGTAACATCTTAGTTTGTTATTCTGTCCTGATTAAGGATGTGGAGTCAGGGCTATGTTCTGGAAAGGTGTGGATGAGGTGGGATTATTTTTGTTCCACAGACATTTGTGGAACACCCCCCTCCCCCCCACGCCTCCATGCAGACATCTTGCCAACATTAGCTCATCTGTTGTACTCAGAATTCCCTTGGTGACAGCCTCTTATCTTGCCAAGAACACTTAGCGAATACAACTGTATTGTTTAAAAATTAAACTTTCTTTATACCTTTGTTCCGATTTTATTTATGCCATTAGCAGAATCAACAACTTTTCTCTCCCTGTTGATTCCAACTCACATTCGATTCTGAATTGTGGAAGTGTCTTGTTTTGTTTGTTGATTTCTTGGTAGTAGTGGATTTTAAACTCAAGGCCTCATGCTTTCTAAACAGGCATTCTGCCACTTGAGCCAGGCCTCTGACTCCTGTAGTTTTGCCTGGGCCAGCCTGGCAACACCTATAACCTCTTGAGTAGCTGGGATTATAGATAAATACTGTCATGACTGGTTTATTCATTGAGATGAAGTCTCACTAACTTTTTTTTCTTCTTCATTTCTTTTTGGCTTACAAACTGCAATTCTCCCAACTACCTCCCAAGTAGTTGGAACTAGAGTCATGAGCCACTCTCCCCCAAATAACTTTTACTGCAAAAAATAAAGAATCTCTGTCTGTTAAGAGCTAAACAGCTTTGAAGTGTAAGAGGCAGGAGCCCTTGTGGTAGGAACTCCTTCCTTGAAGCTCTTGCAGTGGGCTTTTCTTCCCTGGTGTGTTTGGGACCATGTAACCATTTAATTGCTTGTATTTGTGGTACTATTACTATGCACTTCTCCTGTGCAGAGGTCTATTTTCTAGTGCTTAGACCCTGGCTCAGGTTCTGACATGTGACAGATAGATTCTGTATGTGTATAAGCTAATACCTATGTGTACACACACACACACCACACACACACACACACACACACACACACACACACACACACCATGTACACACACACATCTACTTTTTTCTTTTTTTCTGGCTTGAACTCTGGGCCTGGGCACTGTCCCTCGGCTCTTCAGCTCACCTTGAGCCACAGTGCCACTTCTGTTTTTTTGATGGTTAATTGGAAATAAGAGTCTCATGGACTTTCCTGTCCAAGCTGGTTTTCAACTGTGATTCTCAGATCTCAGCCTCCTGAGTAGATAGGATTACAGCTGTGAGCCACCAGCACCTGGCTCATCTAGTTTCTTGAATGCCATCCGTTTCAGTGGCTTTATGCGCAAGTGCTAGGTGGTGGTGGGGGAGATCAAAACCTTACACTGTCCCTCGGCCATAAGATACACATGGCCAAGTGATCCCAACTCTGTGACCCTTCATTGTGTTATATTTAGCAGGAAGCCTCTGAGTCCTTGGGGGGCCTTCAGAACGCAGAAAGTCTGGAGGAAGCAGCAAGGTAGTTAAAATCCCCTAAGAGCTGCCTTCATGAGGTCACAAAAATGTCCTAAGACAAATCTTCCTGTGCTTCTCAGGGCTACTTTTCAGCTCAGTACATCATGGATGACTTCAAGAGAGACCCTCTGTACATCCTGGATAACAACCATACCCATTTGCTGCTTGTGGACAATGGCTGCCATGGGCACCCCACGATCGAGGCAAAGCTCCGCAACCAGCTGGAGAAGTACATCTCGGAGCGCACTAGCCAAGGTCAGTATTTAGGGCAAGGAGCAAGAGACACTCCATAAACAGTTACCACAGCACCGCCCACACCTGCCTGAGGCTGAGGATGTGCAATGAGGTGTTTTCCCTGCCAGAGAAGAGCTGTCTGTCCTTCCCGAGGAGCTGTCCTGCTTGGGCTGTCATTCTTCTTTCTTCAGCTTCCTTGGAGTGCTTCTGCCAGGGTCCCTGGGACACATGCCCTTCAGCACGGGCAAGAGAATGACAGATGCTTCCTTCTCATCTGTAATACGGGAAGTCTGTGGTGTGTCTGTCCCCTTAGCATGTAAGAACAAATGAAATCCGAGATGGCAAGTAGGAATTGTAAAAAGCAGTGCCAATAACTAAGATCAAATAATGACTAAAACCCAGTCCACCAGTATAATGACTGGAAGGCCACTGAACGTTTTGAATCTTTGCTTCTTTGGAATAGAACTGCCTAAAATATTGTTTCCAGGGGAGACTGCAGCAGGTGAGTGAAGGCTTCATGTGGCCGTAGGTGACATGCACTTTGCCTTCCGGAGGCCAAGCTGTGTCCTGCTGCCCTTGGGACTTAGTGATTGACCTTATCACAGGGACTTGCTGGAGGTGTTCTCCATGGCCTTTCTTCCCCAGTGGAACATACAGGAAGAAATACATTTACAAATGTGCTGAACTCCATTGGGAGAACACCTAGTTATGCAAATTTCCAACTCCTCAAGAAGGCCTAGGATTGTGTTAATGAATAAGAGAATAATTATTGTAAGGATAAACTTGTGCCTGGTTTCAGCCTATTGGCAGAAGTAAATCAAACCGAGAACTTAGCCTTTTAAATATTTGTGACACCACAGCGTGACCCCTGTCAGATGGGCACTAGGTTGGTGCCCGGATCTATTCACTGTGATCGCTGTGTAGAGAGCGTCAAAGTCAAGCCCAGGAGCTATGCAGCTGTCCAGCAGGGCTCATGGGACAGAAGGTCAGGGCATACCTGTTATACAAGGTGGGTGGCTATTTCCATGGGATCCTTTTTGTTTTACAGATTCCAACTATGGTGGCAAGATCCCCATTGTGTGTTTTGCCCAGGGAGGAGGAAGAGAGACTTTGAAAGTGAGTCCTGTTTACTTTTTGAGGAGACCTGCTAACAGAAGATGATATCCGCAGGGTTTTGGAGTTTGTCTAATCTACAGTGACCCATTTCTTTACTGCAGGCTGGGCTTCAGCTCAGAATTTGGGGAGGAGGATGTAGGCCCACAGAAATAGCCTGTGTTTAGTGTCAGCCTTGACAATGAGCCTGTCAAAGACAAGAGCTGTCCTCCACCTGTGCATCTCATGGGCTACACCCTGGCATGTGTAGTGGGAAATGGTGTCCACCTCATCTGAGTGTAGATGTAGCACATAATCCATCCTAGGTTAGATGTTCCCAGACCACTGCTGGCCCACCTGGCGTCTCCTGCAGACATGGGACTCCACATGAAGGAAGCCCAAATCCTAAGGGACTCAAAGCACAGAATAGCCCTTGGATGATTCTGGGTAAGAACTGGATCCCCTACCTCTATGTGGACTCTGATGTTGCTGAGCTCACCTGTCTACAGCCAGGCATGTGTCAAACTTTTAAACAAAGAACATGAGTGTGACTACATTTTGTTCTCTGTTTGGAGACACCATTTTCAAGAGCTCATTTTCTAGGAATGTTTAGGAATAGGACCTTATATGAAAGTGATATCAGCCAGGTTGCCAGTGGCTCACACCTGTCATCCTCATTACTGAAGAGACTGACATGTGAGAATCACAGTTTGAAGCCAGCTCAGACAGACTTCCACTTGATCAGCTAAAAGCTGGAAGTGGAGATGTAGCTCAAGTGGTAGAATGCAGCCTTGAGCAAGAAAGCTAAGAGGCAGAGTCCAGAATCCCATTTTAAGCCCTAGTACTGGCATAAACAACAACAGAACAATTTTTTTTAAAAAAAGAAACCTAACCAACACAAAAGTAAGGTCTAACTCCTCTTTTACATTAATTTTCATGTCCCTTTCCTATCCTATTTATTCTCCAAAACTGAGATTAAAGATCTGTGTGGCCCTTGGCTCTCTCCCCAGCATTGGCCAGGGTACATCCTGAACTGAGCAGCACTTGCTGGCAAAGCTACTGGAGTTATAGTCAAGCATCCGTATGCTCCTTCTTTCTGTGGGACAGTGATCTTTCCATTCACTCATTCATTAATTTATTCATTCATGCAACCCATATTTACTCCACACTCACTGGGAGACCATGGGTAAATAAAAATCATCCAGAGACTTTAAAAAAAATGAATGATTTACAATAAAAGACTTTACAGGGAATAATTAAAATAGGTATTTTTTTTCAATACAAAAAGTGTGGGTAACGTCCTTCCGATAAGCTGCCAGTGATCATGTTGAGGTGTACCTTCGAAGCTGTAGTTTAGAGTGTCAGTATCTGGAATGATAGATGCTTGTGCAGGGGGGCAGTTACTCTATGGACAATGTAAGTTGTCATGGGACTCTCTTCTTTGCCGGTATGCCAATAAGCCTGGCTTGCTTTGCTTATTCATTAGGCGGTTGCAGACAGTTGTTTCTGGTTTGAAACGGATGCCCTAAGAGCAGAAGTGCAAGGAGAGTGTCTGTGTGTTTTACTCAAAGCCTTAGTCCCTCTGGGTCCTGTCCATCACCAAGAGCCCTCCCATCCGTCCATCTCTGTCTCCTCTCCCAGGCCATCAACACCTCCATCAAGAGTAAAATCCCATGCGTGGTGGTGGAAGGCTCAGGGCAGATAGCCGATGTGATCGCCAGCCTGGTGGATGTGGAAGATGCCTTGACCTCGTCCATGGTCAAGGAGAAGCTGGTACGCTTTTTACCACGCACAGTGTCCCGGCTTCCGGAGGAGGAGATCGAGAGCTGGATCAAGTGGGTGAGTTTTGGGGGAAAACGTTGTGGGGGGCTGAGGATCAGGAAGCTGAGTTCATGGGAATGGAAGTGACCCCAGTAGGAGCTGCAGGTGTTGGACTAGTCCTCGTGACTTTTAGTCTGGATTCTGGCCTAGCCCAGGCATCTTGTGAGAAACAAATTTTGTGCCATAGAGGCTTAAATTGTGAGAAACAAATTTTGTGCCATAGAGGCTTAAATTCAGGCCTGGTTGCAAAGCCTATCATCTTCCTTGAGGCCACGATGCCAACAAACACACTTCTGTGATTTGCATTTATCAGTGATGGGGAAGAAAGAAATCCCCAGGAATGACAGTTTAAAGATGCAAACTCTTAACAGAATCTATAGTTACTGGCAGAAACACCATTATACAGTACGTTGCTTGTAACATTGCCTGGTCTGCAGTGTGGATTTGATGATCTCGTGTTTCTTGGTTGAAGATGTAAGAAAGGCCGCGTCACAGAAACAATTATGCTTCTTATTGCCGTGTTTGTGGGAGTATTTTAACACCAGAACAATGTGCTTTCATCTCTCTCATGTCAAGGGAAGCCAACACGTTAACCACCGGCCAGTAAGATCCTAATTGTCAAATATAATGGCTATCTTCATCTGCATCCTTGTACCTTCCAGCCCCACTGAGACCTTGTGGTACCCCACACTTTGGAACTAGGGACTCTCTCATTAGAAACTTTGCCTGGATGTTTACTTTCTTTATTAAAACTGCCTACTTCAGTTTTTAAAAATTCACCCTAGAATTCTGCTATTTTCTGGATAAGAATCAAATATCAATTGCATAGACCCAGTCAATACTTCTCTCATTATAAAGTTTTAAAGTTAGACAACGCACAAAAATCCCAATTCCTATTATAGGGAGTTAAGGTACTTTATATGCAAAAATCCCTTTTTATGCAATTAATATACACTGATTAATGAAGGAAGAAAGTCACATCTGTTCAGTCCCCAAGAACTCTTGGTTCTTGTTTGCATTTGAGCTTTTCATTTCTATTGTGTCAGACTTTATGACAATGCTTAGATATTGTTTTCTTCTGTTACCTGCTCTTCATTTATTTACTCATTTGATAATTGAGAACCAGAGATCTACCAGGCTCTATTACACAGACACATGCATACACATTCACATGCTCATACACATGCATGCACACACACAGGCACACTCACATACACATTTAGTTGTACACTTACCCTTACAGGTGCTCAGCATTTTGATATGGGATTTTTGATAAGTGTATTCTTGGACCCTCAATATTTGACTTCCATTATATCAAGGATGCATTATTATAATTAAAAATTAGAAGCTCTGGGTACAGGCATTATTGTTGCAGGAAGGAGATCTGGAATTTAAAAAAGATGGAATTAACAATCTCACCAACAGAGATAAGTTTATGTTCTTGGTGCTTAAAACCTGTCAGCTGACAGCTTTATTCTTTAATGTTACCAGCTCAAAGAAGTTCTCGAAAGTTCTCACCTATTAACAGTTATTAAAATGGAAGAAGCTGGGGATGAGATTGTGAGTAATGCTATCTCCTACGCTCTGTATAAAGGTGAGTGGGGGAGAATGTCCTAAGAACTTCCACCTTGTGCTTCTTTCTGTCTGTGGGTTTGGTGACTTGTAGTTCTTTGTAAAAATTGCTTTATTGGTGGGTGCCAGTGGCTTATACCTATAATCCTAGCTACTTGGGAAGCTGAGATTTGAAAATCACAGTTCAAAGCTAGCCTGCACAGATAAAAGCCAGAAGTGGAGGTGTGTCTCAAGTGGTAGAGTGCTAGCCTTGAGTGAAAAAGTTGAGAATAAGCATAAGGCCCTGAGTTCAAGCCCCAGTACTGGCACACACTCAAACACACATACACACATTGTGTGAAATTGAAATTTTGTGCCATACAGGCTTAAATTCAGGCCTGATTGCTTATTAAGCAGGTTGAACTTTCATACTCTGAAAATCTGAAATACAAAATCCTCTATACTTTTTGTGTGCTGATAAGATACCACAAGTGGGAAATTCCATACCATGAAACTGTTTTTTTTAATTTAAAATATTGTATTGAACTAACTTCCGACTGTGTATAATAGATATATGTGTGTACATTTCATGCTTAATTATGGGCCCTAGGATATCTTATTATTTGTGAATTAAAAATTAAAATCTAAAGTACTTCTGGTCCTAATCATTTTAGATAGGGAACATGTAATTTGTATCATCTTGCATTTAATTTAGGATATAAAAGAGTGAAAGACATTTGTCTCTGGGGAGACAAATTTCCTCAGATACATGTACATAATAAGAATGTTTATATCATTATACATACTTACCAAAATGCTGTCCCAAAGCTGCTTTCTAGAAGTGTTTTAGAATATTTTCCTAGGTCTCTTCTAACATTCCTTGAAAATGTTATTAAAAGTGTTATTCAAAAGACTAAATGTTATTTAGTCTTAAAGCTTTACACATAAGTAACACACAGGCACACACAGAGAGATCACACACACCAAAAACAAACCAACAACTTTGCATTGATTTCTGGAGTTAACAAATCTCCTGAACTTATGAACTATTCTCAGACTAGACCATTCTTTGTGGTCTTCACTGTCTACCAAAGTGGACATCAGATGAAGTAAATATAAATAGGTCCTTGGCAAAGCCAAGCCTTTTGGAGTTGTACTATCTGATTTGAAAAATGCAAAACAAGCCAGGCACTGGTGGCTCACACCTGTAGCTGTTCAGGAGGTTGAGATCTGAGGATCGAGGTTCAAAGCCAGCCTGGACAGGAAAGTCTATGAGACTCTTATCTCTAATAACCTCCAACAAATAAAAAAATAAAAACAAGCTGGAAGCAGAGCTATGGCTCAAGTGGCAGAGTGCTGGCTTTGAGCAAAGAGAAGCTCGGGGACTGTGCCCACGCACATAGCAAGTGCAATTTGATTGCTTATTACACACATTCTGGTTTCTCTTGCCAGAAATTTGGTTGTAACAGTATTTATTCAAAGGGAGAGCAGAGAGCATGGCTTAAGTACTTGCCTAACAAGTGTATGGCCCTGAGTTCAAACCCTACTACTGACAAACCCCCTCCACCTATAAAACAACTCTAGTTCTCTAGTGTTTATTCAGATGGGGTTCTGCTGTATATGATATATAATTTTATATATTAATTTATATATCAATTAATACAAAATTAATTAATATTAATTAATATATTAATTAATGTTAATTAATATATTATTTATACATTAATTAATATAAAATTAATATTAATTAATTTTATATTAATGTATAAATAACATATTAATTAATATATCAATTAACAATCAGTATGTTTATATTAATCAATTAATATATAATTATATATATTAATACATATTAATATATTAATTGATTACTGATTATATAATTATATAATTACATGTTGATTATACTAATTATATAATCAACATATAATTATATAGAATATATAACATAATATATAATTATAATATAATAATATGTATAATCATATATACTATATATACTATATAAAATATATAATTATATATAAGATATAATGTATAATAATTTTATAGTTATATATAATAACATGATATATATTATATATTGTATAACATAATTATATAATATAAGGTAGTATATAATAGTATGTAATATAAGATAGTATGGGTGGGAGGGAGGGGGGAGGCTGGGAAGGGAGGTGAAGGGTAAACAAAGGAGGAGGCTGCAATGCTTGGTAAGAAATGTATGCATTATCCTGCCCATGTAATTGTAACCCCTCTGTACAGTATGTTCTCAAATAAAATAAAATAAAATTTAAAAAAAAAAAAAAGATAGTATATAATACAAGATAGTCTAGGTATGGAAAATACTAGCCCTGGAATAGACAAGAAGTACATTAATGTGACATGACAAATTACTTTTTATAGCTTTAAATATAGTGTAAATCAGGTATTATTTTTGCGGTATAATGCCCATAGAATCTAGATCTATGAGAAAATGCCAATATACTACACTTTATGTTGTTCAGGAAGATATTACTATAGCCTGGTCGATCTTCATTATGTATCATGGCCTGCAGCATGTGGTTGAGAATGAATGACAGTGAAGTACTCTCTCGGTTCTGAGTGTCCACTTCTGACAGAACCCTCTTCAATCACTGTGATAACTGGCCACAGAGAATGGTCTGACTCTTTTCTCTTCTTTGGGCCCCTTTGTTCTGTGGATGCTCCTCCTGCTTGCCGACAGCCTTCAGCACCAATGAACAAGACAAAGATAACTGGAATGGACAGCTGAAGCTTCTTTTGGAGTGGAACCAGCTGGAGCTCGCCAGTGATGAGATCTTCACCAATGACCGCCGATGGGAGGTAAAGGAGCAGCCCTCAGGGGTTACCCTACCTTCAGTGACTCCTGGGCCATTTCCAAGGTCATCCATTTGGAATCTTGTAGGACGATTCTTTTCTGGTTTGTCAATGTTGCCCAGCCTCACTTTTCTTGACTGCAGGCTGAGATAAGTAACCTGCACTTTAGGTGTATTGTCAAGGGATAATAGAAGTAAAGGAATGCCTGTAAGGTCACAGTGCATCACCAAAGGCATCCAGGATTTCCACCTTTAAGCCACGCGAGAGGAGAGGTAATGTTATATCTGACACGGAGTTGCCTCTCTTCTCTTGGGAGTAGATGGGATGCAGGGATATTGAAGATTTGTCATCAGTGAGCTGTATATGGGAAAAATAGTGCAATGTGTTTGAAGGTACTCCATGTGTTTCTTCAAACTAGGTAGTTGAATATCCCTGAGTTGCACACCACCTTTACTATGAACGTGGCATACCCACTAAAAACAGTATTCTTCTCCAAAACCTTCCAGGGTCACTGTACAATTGGTTAGTGTTTTTAGAGCCACATTTTCTATTCGTTTTCTTTTGTATACAAATAAATTTCAATCAGCTTCAGAAGCTGTGTTCAATAACAAACCATCAAAGCTAGATTGGCGAGGCGAGTTTTGTCTTTTCTATGCTTCAGTTAACTGAAGTCGTTCATGGTCAATGAGAATATGTTTAATTTTTTGAATGTACATAAGATTTGAAGGAGGAGATACTGCATCACTTTCACCCTTGGTAGCCAGGTTCAGAAAACACATTCAGTTGTACCATTGTACAACCAAGGCTGAGAATGGATTTCCATGAGCATACAATCCATTTTAATGATGGTGTGCAAATAAAGGCTCATGAATCTTTAAGTTATTTATTCCTTTAGCAAACATGATCCTGTATTGAGTCTTTGTGTTATAATGAATCCTATTACACATGGAAAAGCTTTAATGAGTAGAGGAGAAGTTGGACTGTATGCGGATTAATTCATGGATTCCCCAATGAATACCTGAGTGTGAAATGTTCCATTAACAGAAGGTCAGATGGTAGAGATAAACATGAACTTAAGCACCCATTGGAATTAAACACTTAGCTTTATGAACTCAGCTGAAGATTGTCAAGGTGAAGGGCACAAAGGAGAAAGGTCTGTGGAGACACTCTCCTGCCTTCCCTCCAGCAAGGTCCTCTACCTGATCTCAGCTACCTCTAACAGTGGCTTGTGGATACCAGATCTTATGAGAGCTGGCTATTATATTTTTAGACATATCACGTGTCAGGTGTGGAAAAGTAGTCATTAAAAATTGAATTGCACAAACCCAGAGTTAAATATGTGTTATGAAAACCAAAGGTAAGAAGTAGTCAAAATGACCATCTTCTAATTAGGTTTCCTGTATTTGCTATTGCCTATGGTCTGGAGGAGATCTCTGTCTAGTGGAAATACTGTTTAGTGGTAGGCTACCCTACCATTCCCAGTTCTGCATCCAATGATGTCAAGTTAGTAGCTGAAAGCTGGCCGTGGGGGAGTCTGTGCAACACATCACAGATCAGGGCCTGTATGTTCTATCAGGGAGCTGGTGGTTAAGCACCAGCACACCACTGCTTATATGAAAGTGGAAGTGGCCCTACTGTCTCCAGGTGTGTTACCAGGATGAAGTCAGAAAACGCTTACAGTTTAGAACAGTGACACTAAACATTATCCAACTGTTTACAGATCACTAACAAATCTATGCCAGATGCTGGTGCCTTATGTCTGTAATCCTAGCTAATTTGGAGGCTGAGATTCGAGAGGATCTTGGTTTGACCAGTTGAGGCCAGAAAGTCTTTAAGACACTTACCTCGAATTAATAACTACAAAGTTGGAAGTAGAGCTGTAGCTCAGGTGGTAGAGTGCCAGCCTTGAGTGAAGAAGCTAAGCTTAGTGCTCAGGCCCTGAGTTCAATCTCCAAGTGTGTGTGTGTGTGTGTGTGTGTGTGTGTGTGTGCATGATTTTGACAACACACGGAACAAATTTCTTGTGCTAGTTGATTTGCTGGTGTCAATCCAAAGCAGAAAAGATACCATTTTGCAGCTTCATATGCCGGAACTCCATGGATGTTTTAGAAAGGAGAGTTACTGACAGCTCTTGGGAAGGCCTGCACTGAACCTGTGGATTGGAAAGAGCATGGCCTGTGGATCATTTCATAGCCACAGCCCTCTGTTTCAGACAGGGGCAAACTGAGGCTCAGAGACCTAATCTTGTTCTAGCTTGAAGATCTTGAAGATGGAGGCAAAGGTGTGTCAAACTACAGAAATGTCTCCCTTTCTCAAGTGCCAGTGCACCCCACTGTGTGGGCCATGGATTGATGATAGCATAGCCTGGGAACTGGTTAGAAGTGTAAACTTCTGGGCTCCATCCTGGGCTGGCTGAACCAGAAATTGATTGGTTGTCTCCCAGGAATCTGTGCTGTAACAAGTCCGGATGACCTAAAGGGAGGCAGATGAGCTGAAATGGAATGTGGAGTGCTGTGCGTGGTAAACACTTCCTTGAGGATGGAGTAAGTGTCCCTGCAGCCTTCCCCAGGGATCCGCTTTCCTGATGAGCCTAGAAGGATCCATAATGTAGGCACTTAAAGGACCGTTGACAATTTTTTCCCTAGGCCATATGTGAGTGCCAGAAGGCCAATATTAGATGGAGACAAACTTGGTGATGCTGCTGTTGGCATGGGATGGCTACCGAGAAAGCACCAGCTCACAGAGGAGGCAATGCTGGAGAGCCGGGGGGCCTTGAGAGCCAGGGCTCCTGGGAAACCGCTGCTGCCTGACTCCAGCCAATGAGTGTCAGAACTTCAGTTTTCTGAGCTGCAATTCCATGATGGAAATGTGGATATTAGTGACTCTTTCAGTTTTAGAGAGGAAAGGAGCTAGATAAGGTCTTTCTATGTAGCTCAGGGTGGCCTTGAATTTGAGATCTTCCTGACTCAGGCTTCCCCTTGAATGCTGGGATTGCAGGCATGAAGCACCATGCCTGATTCAGAATTTTGAATAGTTGGCACTGGAGGCAGTGCCCGGAGTCCATGGAGGATGCCTAGAACATGGCTGAGGTTGATGTAACCTGCAGCCACTTGTCTGTGGCTGAAGAAACACTGCTTGTCTTCAGATTTGTAGGACACTTCAAAGGATAAGTTTTAGCAGGAGCTCAGAAAGTGGAAATAAAGGTAACCAATGAGGGTAATGGCTGATGGGGTAAACTCTCTGCCTAGTAAGCTCAAGGACCTGAGTTCAATAACCAATAACCAGGTATGACTCAAGTGTTCCAGGTATGTAACCTGACCAGTATTTGCTTCATGGCCTATGGTTTGTGTGTGGCCGGCTGGATTCCATTTTGCCAAGTGTGCTTAGGGTCTTAGTCATAGGGCAGGTCTGCAGGACTGGCAGCTACCTCAGTCAGAGTCTACCGTAGACTCCAGAGAAAGGCAAGGGTCCCCCTGTTCTTCTGGCTTCTACTGTGCCAGAGACTGAAGTGACCTCTCATGGGGCGACCTTCTTAGAGCATCATCTTTTCGTGGGTGCGTTTATCTCTGCAGAAGAGAGCCCAGGTCAGTCCCAAGGCCGCATGTGGCTGATTTCCAGGACTCCTACCGTACTGCTTCCCCATCCATATGTCTGAACGGTAACCAGATATTGTACGGAAATGGAAAAGAGAAATCTTAATCTCAAAACAGAACTGGAGAAAAAAATAGCAGATATTGTTACTCTGTTTGAAAAGTAAATCATCTTGTTGTTTTCTGCATTGGATTTACAGTGTGATTCTCCTTACTCTTTTTTTCCCCCTCCTTAGTCTGCTGACCTGCAAGAAGTCATGTTCACAGCCCTCATAAAGGACAGGCCCAAGTTTGTCCGCCTCTTTCTGGAGAATGGCTTGAACCTGCAGAAGTTCCTCACTAACGAGGTTCTCACCGAGCTCTTCTCCAGCCACTTCAGCAGCCTGGTGTACCAGAACCTGCAGATTGCCAAGAATTCCTACAACGATGCCCTCCTCACGTTCGTCTGGAAGCTAGTTGCAAACTTCCGGAGAAGCTTCTGGAAGGAAGACAGAAATAGCAGGGATGAAGTGGACGTGGAGCTTCATGTGAGTAATGGTGGCGACGCTGTCCACGGGGCTTGTTTTAAGTTTTCCTGAGAAAAATGTCTCTGTCTTCCTACCTCATTACCACAAAGTAGCCAAAGTGCTGCCATGATGTTTTCTCTACCGTCTTTCCTTAAAAGTGAAGTTGGTGGTGAGTTTTCCAATGTCTTGCTCTCTGCTCTGTGCTGTTTTTCAAGCCAGTTGCAGTTTTTCTTGGTTGCAAAGTGTGGTGTGGCATATTTCTGAAGGCATTTGACAAGGAGCAGGAACAATCAAAGGTCATTTTGGCCTACTGAACATGATCTGTATTGTGTGTGTGTGTGTGTGTGTGTGTGCACACGCATGCGCGTGTGTGCACACATGCACTGGTTCTGGGGTTTGAACTCAGGGCCTGGCACTGTTCTGAGCTTTTTAGCTCAAGGCCTGTGCTTTGATTCACAGCTCCACTTCTAGGTTTTTAGTGATTAATTGGAGATCAGAGTCTCATGGACTTACTTTCCAGGACTATCTTTGAACTGTGATCCTCAGATCTCAGTCTTCTGAGTAGGGGCAACCAGTACCTGGCTATGATCTTCTTTTTAAAGTAATAGCTCCTTTCTTTCTTTCTTTTTTTTTTGTCGGTCATGGGGCTTGAACTCTGGGCTTGGGCACAATTCCTGCGCTCTTCAGCTCAAGGCGAGCACTCTACCGCTTGAGCCACAGTGCCACTTCCGTAATAGCTCCTTTCTGTCCATGTAAAGGACTGAAGAACTCACAAATGCCCTTTTCTGCATGAAAGGGAAGGTGGAATCCTGGTATCCATCCGAGGAGATACTGTGGATGTACCCCTCCACACTCCCATTGCTTTGGGCCTTCCATTTTACATAAAGGCAGGTCTACTTTACAACAGCTGGCATCAGCAATTATTTACTAATGCTCTTTCTGATCAGAGGCTGGTGTACAAGCACCTCAGTCTTTCTTGAGGTAGTAGAGATAACTGAATATGTATTCTCCACTAGCTCCCAGAGTTGCCTAGTGAACTTGATTTCCCATTACCCACTGTGGCAACTTATTTGATAGCATACCTTTTATTGATTTTTTTTCTTTTCTGATCTCATTTCTTCACTATTTTATTGTTTTTTTTCTGGGATCAATTTCTGAATAAACTACTTACCTCAAATTTTTATTTTAATATTGCTTCTGTGAAACCCAAATTAGGTCATTGTTTTTGTAATTTCAAGTTTTTAGTGTGTGTATGTTTGTGCTTGTGCATATCAAAAATCTAAGTGATTTACATATTTGCAGGCAGTGTTTAGTTTCTAGTTGACACTATGTAAGGTAAAATGTACTGAAAAGCCTACAAAAAAGTAGAGAAAGAATATATACATTTCATCATTTTCTATTTGAAAGTATTTCATTGACAGATACAGAATCATGAATAAGAACTGGGACTCAAATTGATATATCCAATTCAAATGTTTGAATGATAGTCCTAAGAAAATAAGCACATTTTATGTTCTGATCATCAAGCTTACACCACAGGAAACTTAGACACTTAATTTGAATGATTTTTTTTTTTGAGAACAGATTTATATGATGAGATAGAATTGCTTTTTCTTTGGCCTGTCAGAGCCATTCCATTTAAAAATTGCTCTTAACACATTTTTCCCACCCTTTATGCTTTCCTGTCTAGTTACACTTTGTCTTTTGTGATAGATGAAAGATTGTGTGCTCAATTTTACCATCTGGTGGGTTGCAGAGATGAAAATCACATCCTGGTGGTTTTGGACTCATATACAAAGCTACAGAGCCCTCCACATATGGGGCATTCTCCTTGGCCTTCTTGACCCTATTTCATTGTTAGAATAAGGAACCTAAATCGCTTTCCATTTACACATGGTGATCCCATCCTCTGACCTCTTCCAGGATGTGTCTTTCACTACTCGACACCCCCTGCAAGCTCTCTTTATCTGGGCCATTCTTCAGAACAAAAAGGAGCTCTCCAAAGTCATCTGGGAACAGGTATATGTCCAGATGATGGCTGGATTTCTAAGCAATGCATGCTTGTTTTTTGGAACAGGTTTGAATCTCTCAAAACTTTCATGCCTAATCTAAGGCATCAGCAATGAAATGGTTCATCTGGTGGGGATGGGTATGGCTGTGCCTCTGTTTGCATGTCATCCAGATGTGTCTGCAAGGAGCTGTCCTGAGGAAGGAGCCATCCCTGGGAGTCCTTGGTACCAGGCTCCAACTCTCAGGTGTGTGTGAGGATGTGATTGCTTCCCAAGTGCCTGAGGCATTCAAATTTCATTTAAAAATTCATTTCTAAGAGCTTGCTAAGCCTGCACAAGGCCCTAGTTCCAACCTCCAGTGCTACAAAACACAAAAATTGTAAAAATAGTATCTACCTTTATTACAATACAAATAAGGAAACAACCTGTAAAATTTTTGCTTTGGCTTTTTTTTTAAGTTCTCTCCTCTTTATATTTTGGATATTAGGCCATTGTCTAATGTGTAGTTGGCAAAAATCTCCCATTCTGTAGGCTGTCTTTTTAGCTTGTTGCCTATGTCCTTTACCATGCAGAAACTTTTTAGTTTGATACAGTTCCATTTATAAAGTCTTTCTTTGATTTGCTGTGTTTCTGGATCTTTATTCAGAAAGTTTCTGCTTGTGAGAAGCGGTTTTTAATATTTCTCCTACTCTTTACTGTAATGGTTTCATGGTTTCAGGTCTTACAATGAGGTCTTTAATCCATTCTGAAGTGATGTTGGTACAAAGTGATAGGTAAGGATCCAGTTTCAGTTTTCTGCATGTGGATATCCAGTTTGGGCAGCAGCATTTGTTAAAGAGTCTGTCTTTCTTCCAGCCTATGTTTGTGGCTCCCTCACAGAATGTTAAATAGCAGTAGGTCTGGGGGTTTATTTCTGGGTCTTCTGTTCTCTTCCTTTGGTATTCAGGCGTGTTTTTATGCCAGTTCCAGTTGTTTTCATGGCTATGGCTTTGTCATAGAGTTTGAAGTTTGGTATTGTTATTCTTCAAGCCCTATTCTACCTGCTAGGATCACTTTTGCTGTTTGGGATCTTTCGGATATTGTTGAACTGAGACACAAATCCCTGCTATGTTCTTATCCAGCTTCTCCCAGGGAAGATATGGGAAGCCATACTTCCCACTGTCACAGTCATGATGCCAGTTTCTCATGCTGTTTGTTAAGGTGTGTGTGTGTGTGTGTGTGTGTGTGTGTGTGTGTGTGTGTGTGTGTGTGTGTGTGTGTGTGTGTTGGTACTGGGGCTCCAACTTAGGGCCTTGTGCTCTCACTTGGTTTTTTTGCTGAGGTTTGGTGCTCTATGATTTGAACCACCTCCTCTACTTCTGGCTTTTTTGTTGGTTAATTGGATATAAGAATCTCAGAGAGTTTTCTGCACTGACTTTAAACTGTGATCCTCAGATCTCAGCCTCCTGAATAGTTAGGATTATAGGCATAAGCCACTGGTGCCTGGAGATATATTTTCTTTTTCTGTGTTAATCCTATGCTCCAGACCACAAGCGTATATATTCAGGTTCGAAGCTATTGTTGTGCTAATGTCAAATTTTACTTTGAATCATTAGCAGTAGTTGAGATGGTACCATTTCCTGTTGTGCTGCCAGTTTATCCTTTCCGATGCTCATGTCTGCCCGGCCACTTAAAGAATTTTTGAATTAACCTAAAATTCTCCACCCCAACCCCCATGAAAAGACCCGAGGCTGTACTCTGGCAGCTCTAGGAGCCAGCAAGCTTCTGAAGACCCTGGCCAAAGTAAAGAATGACATCAATGCTGCTGGGGAGTCTGAGGAGCTGGCCAATGAGTACGAGACCCGTGCAGTAGGTAAGTCTCCCGGGATTGGGGTGTCGTGGTGTGTGGGGGTCTGTTGTGTGGGAGGTTCTTGCTGGTGGCAATCGTAGGCCAGGTGGCTGAGGTAAATTGTGTGTGAGCTATTCTTCTGTCCCAATGGAAGACACTGTGGATCTCTCAGCCAAGCGTATATACACTGTGCCCGGGCATCTTGCTTCTGGTGCTGACTGACTTTCCCAAGAATGAATGTGAGCATCCTGGGCTGTGTCTTCTCCACGTAGGGCCAGTTAGGGCCACACTCAGGCTTAGGTCTAAGGAACTCAGCACCTCGGGGAGTTTGGGATGGGTTTCAGGATGTTATTAAGACCTGTGACAGCTTAGATCTTACTTGATTTGTAAGCTCACAAGTAAACCAGCTATTACCAGACCCCCCCCCCCACATACACCATAACCCCTCCCCGCCACAACTTCTGATGTATCATCTGGGACAGAGTTGGCTTATCGCTGATGGGAGGGGCAGCAGCTGGGTTCCCATGTTTTCATACCCCCTTGGCAATACTGGAACTAGTCGGTATTGCTTCCCTGGAGCTCCCTGAAGTTAGGGATCTCGGATCTTCCATCAGAGCTGCAGGTCAGGTCACTCACTACCTGAATGGAAGAAGAGAGAGGCTTGGTGAAGCCTCACTCTCCTGAGAAGTCTCTGGAGGACACATGGGGTGGCTGGTATTGCTGTTCCATCCTTGGTTGAAGCTGATCAGTGCCATTTTATGCAGAAAACCAGGTCATTAGGGCATGCTTTCAACTTGTTTGGAGTTTTCCCTTTGAACGTGACAGGTTTAAGTTGGTAGTGTGGTAATTGTCATGTGTTTGACTATTGTGTTACCTGATAGAAAAAATACCCACGCTTTTAGTTTCACAGTAAAATAGAAGCATGCAATTATTTCTTTAAATCTTATAAAGTTTCAAAGATATAATCTTTCTTTCTTTCTTTCTTTTTTTCTTTCTTTCTTTCTTGTCAGTCATGGGGCTTGAACTTTGGATCTGGGTGCTGTCCCTCAGCTCTTTAGCTCAAGGTGAACACTCTACTACTTGAGCCACAGCACTACTTCTGGGTTCCTGGTGGTTTATTGGAGATGAGTCTCACAGATTTTCCTGCTTGGGCTGGCTTTGAACATTGATCCTCAGATCTCAGTCTCCTTAGTAGCTATGATTACCAGTGACTAGCTATGTTTATTTCTGAATGACTTCAGTTAAGCAATGGTTTTGAATATCTTGACTTTTGAAAATTTCCTCTCAGAGCCAGGTACTGGTGGCTCATGCCTGTTATCCTAGATACCTAGGAGACTGAGACTGAGGACTGTAGTTCAAAGCCTGCTTGGGCAGAAAAGTACTTGAAACTCTTATTTCCAATTAACCAGCAAAAAGCCAGAAGTAAAGCTGTGGATCAAGTGGTAGGGGGCCAGCCTTGATCCAGAAAGCTAAGTGAAAGCATGAGGTCTTGCGTTTAAGCCCCAGAGCTGGCACTAAAAAAAAAAATCCTTCAAGGAACTGCACTTCAGTGTCTTTTTCATTAGGTCTTGGAATACAAGAACTCCCTAGTGCAATAGGTTCCTAAGTCTTCTACTATTATTTATTTGTTTATTTATTTATTCATTTTTATTGTGAGAATACCATACAGAGGAGTTACAATTACATGGGTAAGAAAACGAGTACATTTCCTTCCTTCCTTCCTTCCTTCCTTCCTTCCTTCCTTCCTTCCTTCCTTCCTTCCTTCCTTCCTTCCTTTCTTTCTTCCTTTCTTTCTTTCTTTTTTGGGTCCGGTCGTGGGACCTGAACTCTGAGCCTGGGCGCTGTCCCTCAGCTCTTCAGCTCAAGGATAGCGCTCTACCACTTGAGCCACAGCACCACTTCCGGCGTTTTTCTTTTTGCTTATGTGGTGCTGAGGAATCGAACCCAGGGCCTCAGGCATGCAAGGCAAGCGCTCTACCACTGAGTCACCTTCCCAGCCACATGGGTACACTTCTTATCAAGCATTGTTGCCTCCTCTTTGTTTCCCCTTCCCATCCTTTCACATACTCTCCCCGCCCCCCGACCCGGTCCTCCTCTCCCTCCATCAAAGTTGTAAAGTTCGTTTTTCGACATAATGACTTGTACATCTCATTGTTGCAATGGGTCCACCTGTATCGCTAGTTAATCGATTTGTTTTTTCCAAACCTCTCCACAAATTATACCAACAGCAAATACAGTGAAAGCAGGGGTTATATCTTGGGGGACGGACATACAAAGCCACATAGAAATCATCTTGTAAATATGTTAGAAACAATTGCATGAAAGGAAAAAAAACCATTTGAATACTTATCTTGGGGTTCATTCCCCTAACATCCACTTATCTGACCTTTTCTGCTTGACTCAGACATATACTAGTTATTGCAAATAAGGGAAACCATGGGACCTATGTTTCTTTGGGCCTGGCTTACTTCACTTAATATAATTTTTTCAAGTCTTTCCATTTCTAACAAATAGGGCAATGTCATTCTTTCTGATGGAAGCATAGAATTCCATTGTGTATATATACCACATTTTCTTGATCTATTCATTTACTGAGGGGCATCTGGGTTGGTTCTATATCTTAGCTATGGTAAATAATGCTGCAATAAACATAGTTGTGCTGGTAGCTGTAGTATGGTCTTGTGATCATTTGAGTAAATGCCCGAAAGTGGGATTGCTGGGTCATAGGGGAGCTCTATATGGAGTCTTTTGAGGAACCTCCATACTGCTTTCCAAAGTGGTTGAACAAGTTTACACTCCTACCAACAATGTAGTAAGGTTCCCTTCTGTCCACATCCCCTCCAGCATCTGTTGTTATTAGAGTTCTTGATTATAGCCATTCTAACTGGGGTGAGGTAGTATCTTAATGTTGTTTTGATTTGCATTTCTTTTATGGCTAGGGAGGTTGAGCATTTCTTCATGTGTCTATTGGCCATCCTTCTTTCCTCTTCAGAGAAGTTTCTCTTTAAGTCTTTAGCCCACTTATTTATTGGGCAGTTGTTTCTTTGAAGATTTGTTTTTGAGGGATTTAATTTTTTAAGTTCCAGGTATATTTTAGATATGAGACCCTTGTCTGTTGTATTCTACTATTTATTGTTGTTGTTTGACTGGATATTTTCAGGCTGTGATTTATCGAGAAAGAACTATCACCCAGAATTCACATAAGGCAAATGAGCTGGAGGAGAGGCTTCCTTAATGAAGGGGAAGCAGCTGGTCTGGGGTTCTTGCTAGGGGTCAAGGCTCATCTGTCTACATCCTACAAAGCAGCAACTCCCTGTACTCAAGGCAGCTCAATCTACCAGCCTGTGTTGACATGTTCTGATAACCACAGTACCCTTAAAGAAACTGTCAGCCAGGGTCAGGTTGTAATGCCCTCCTCTGTGCCTTTAAGTGTCCAAGTTCTTACACCCAAGCTCTTGGTGGATTCGGGGGGTTGGCAGGCAGGAGGAGCTGGCCAGTTTGCTCGATTTGCCAGCTCTGACTACAGACCTCTCTCTGATGATGATGCAGAGCTGTTCACGGAGTGCTACAGCAGTGACGAAGATCTGGCTGAACAACTGCTGGTGTACTCTTGTGAGGCCTGGGGCGGGAGCAACTGCTTAGAGCTGGCAGTGGAGGCCACAGACCAGCATTTTATCGCCCAGCCTGGGGTCCAGGTAAGCAGCATCCAGTCCTCGGACAACATACCCAGAAAGGGGCCTTGACATCAGCTGCAGAAATAAATAAAAAAACCTCATAACATTAAAAATAAACCTTCTTACTAGGCTCTGATGGCTCACACCTTAATCTTAGTTACTCAAGAGGCTATGATCTGAGGATTGTGATTTGAAGCCAGCCCAGGCAAGTCCTTGAGAATCTTACCTCCAATTAATCCTCAAAAAGCTTGAAAAGAAGTTGTGGCTCAAGTGGTAGAATACTAACTCACAGACAGTGCCCAGGCCCTGAGTTCAAGTACCAGGACTGGCGCACACACACACACACACACACACACACACACACACACACACACACACACACACTAAGCCTTCTCCTCCAGTATAAAAGCCATTGCAGTGGAACGGGGCCAATGATGATATGAGAGACAGCAGCCATAAGCATTGGTAGATATCCTTACTTTAAGAGATGATGATACAGGGGGCTAGGAAGGTGGCTCAGTGGTAGAGTGCTTGCCTCGCATGCATGAGGCCCTGGGTTCGATTCCTCAGCACCACATAAGTAGAAAAGGCTGGAAGTGGCGCTGTGGCTCAAGTGGTAGAGCACTAGCGTTGAGCTGAAGAGCTGAGGGGCAGCGTCCAGACCCAGAGTTCAGGCTCCACAACTGACCAAAAAAAAAAGAGAGATGATACAGGAATGGGACTGTTGGCCATTAATGTAACATAATACGGAGACAATCAACTTAAAAAGAAAAATGGTTTACTTGGGCTCACAGTTTTGGAGGTTTCAGCCCATGCTTGCTTGTCCTCATTACTTTTGGACCTCTGTGAGGTGACACTGTGTGGTGGGAGTGTGTAGTGGAGGAAGATGCTCAGCCAGGAAGCTAAGAGTGAGGATGAGGAAGGGCTGAGCGCCCAGGTACCCTTCCAGGACATGACCCCAGCTACTGAGACCTCCTACCAGGCACCATCTCTAAAAAGTTTTACCATGTCAGGGCTAAGGACAGTGGGCTTTTGGAGGACATTTAAGATGTGAACCATTGTAATGGGGAATGAAGTAATCATGAGCTGGGTCTCTGGACCCCCCCCCACCCCCCGTCTGGGTCCTAGTCCACAATATCCTAACTAGGTTCGGGGTTTTGAGTCTTAGTGTCTCACCTGTGAAATGGGGATGGTAACGGGGGATGGTAACAGCTACGGGGAAAGGCTGCTAGGAGGCATCAGCAAGGTACTATGTGGATGGGGCTGGTCTTTACTTGAGCCATTACAGTTACAATTATTGCTTATAGTAAGACAGAAACTTATGAAATGGGTGAAGTCAGTGTTCATGTTCAGCTGGAGGGGTGTGGTTCTTAGATGCAGGGTGAGGAACTGGCCATACCCATTATATGTTTCTTCTTCACAGCATACATGGAGGTGGGGAGCATTATCATCAGGAAGGTTCTAGAACATTCCCTCTGCTTGCGCCGCTCAGAGGTGGCAGGGCTATATGTAGCTAGTCTGTGACTTCACAGATTGTCCTGATACCCTGTGCCAATCTGTTGAACTGATAGTTATATACTCTGTCCTGTACCATGAGACAAGGAGAAGACAATTAGATGGAGTGGGGAGAGGCAGACATTGTACTAAAACTCTGTAACCTGCACTGTTACTCCAACCTGGGAGATTTACCCTACTCCCTCCCCAACCCCATCTCCCTCCACCCAGCAGGTACAACATGGCTGGTGCAGCCTGCCCTTCTTGATCCCCAGGGCAGAGCCCAGGGCAAGTCTTCCTTCCCTTCTTCCAACCATTCTAAGGCAGGTGCCAAGGCTGTGGGCTCAGCATGCCAGTCCCAGCTTTTGTGAATGGCACTGAGTGGACCTTGACATTCCTGTTCTGGCCCCAGACACTGCAGCTTCTCAGGCTCTTCGTGGAGAGCCATGATTTCTTTTGAGCTGGTCAGATTTTTGCCCACCCTGCAGCTCTCAGAGTCAAAGTGAGTTTTTTGATTTTTTACCTTCCAGGAAGCCCTCCCGGCCCACCCTCAGGGGCCAGTACAGATGGAGAAAGCTTTTTGATGCATTTCATCTTAAATTGATTTTGGTCTCTTCCCTTTCTGACTTCCTTTTCATTTCTCAACAAGGGTGTCTCATTTGCCACCAGAAAGGAGTCCCTGGAGGCTGCACTGAGCTTGCTTGAATTTTGTCTCATTAAAGAGAAAGGAGTTAGGAAGATACTTGTTTAAACCCACATAATAAGAATTCGAGTTGGTTAAAAATTCATAGGTTTATTGAATTTGTACGCACACAACTCTTTTAAAGCTCATATAACTGAACTTACAAAAAGACATCATCAAACAGCATTTTAAATTGTTTACTTGTGGCGCCTTAGGATCTTGGTAAATTGTATGAAAGAGAGGACTGGAGTGGTTATTGATCTTGGAGGGTGTGAGGCTGAGAAGAAAGTTTGTAAACATCCCCTGTACAATTGCATTGATGAGGACCTGTGTTCTTGATCTGTTTCTCTATAGAATTTTCTTTCCAAGCAGTGGTATGGAGAGATTTCTCGAGACACCAAGAACTGGAAGATTATTCTGTGTCTGTTTATCATCCCCTTGGTGGGCTGTGGCCTTGTATCATTTAGGTATGAACCTTGGCACATGGTTATTTGTGAGTGTGTGTGTGCACCCGCATCCCTGGGTGTGCTTGAGCATCTGTGTAAATGACTGTGACACTCTGAATGCAGAACCTTCACCATGGCGCTCTGCACTTGGTCTGGTACCGCCTCTGCTTTTCCTGCGTTTGATTTCACACAGGTAGAGATAAGGTTGTGTCTTCAGTTTCCTAGGCGGGAATCTGGCCTTGCTAATCATGTAACTCCAGGCCTCCATCTTGATTGGATCCATCTTAGGCCTTGCCAGTTCCCCCAGCTGAGGGTTGGCTCTCTGTAGCAGGGGAGGAGGGCTGTTGCCTCCGTGTGTACGTGTGCATGCGTGCACGGATGTTGCGCATGCGTGGGCCGCCCTTTTGGACGCTGCACATGCGCGGGCTGCCTTCTTGGACGCTGCGCATGCGCGGGCGGCCCTCGTGGATGCTGCACGTGTCCAGGCTGCCCTCGCGGATGCTGCGCCTGCGCGGGCCACCCTTGTGGAAGCTGCGCATGCTCGGGCTGCCTTTGTGGGCGCTGCGCATGTGCAAGCTACCCTCGTGGATGCCGCGCATGCGTGGGCTGCCCTCTTGGACACTGCGCGTGCGCGGGCCGCGCTCGCACGTCCAGGACGCCCTCGCGCCTCTCCCTCTGCAGGAAGAAGCCCATCGACAAGCACAAGAAGTTGCTTTGGTACTACGTAGCCTTCTTCACCTCGCCCTTCGTGGTCTTCTCCTGGAACGTGGTCTTCTACATCGCCTTCCTCCTGCTCTTCGCCTACGTGCTGCTCATGGACTTCCACTCGGTGCCGCACACACCCGAGCTGATCCTCTACGCGCTGGTCTTCGTCCTGTTCTGTGATGAAGTGAGGCAGGTAGGCCGCGCCGCCCCCGCCGGCGTCCGCTTCCGGGTTCGCAGGTGCCCCTGACCCCGCGCATGCGCGCGCTCTGACCCCGCGCATGCGCGCTCGCTGCGCTGCGTGGCGCCGGGACCCGAGGCGCCCGGCCCGATTCCTGGCGTCCCAGCCCGAGATGGCCCCACACGGGTCCCTCACAGCCGCTGGCGGGGTGTGGGGGCCCAGTGGGGGGCCTGGGTTCCCACCCCTGCTGTCCAGCAGCCCGCGCCTGCTGGGCTCCTGACATGGCCGAGGCCCGCGGGCGGCACCCCGGCGGCCTTGGCTCTTCCAGGGCCGGAAGGACTGCTGGTCTTTGCCTCTCTGGCGCTTGTTGGTGCAGTGCACGGCCCCCATGCCCGTAGAGTGCCCCTCCGTGTGTGATTCTGTGTCCCGAATTCTCCATGTCCTGCCCTGTCCTTCCTTTGGTCCTTTCTGGACATCTGTCATATTGAGTCAGGGCCAGTCAACTTCAGGGGGACTTCCTCTTAACCCACTCAGCCGTGTCTACAGCGACCCAGTTTCCAAAGGAGGCCACAGTCCAAGGTTTTCTCTGTCTCTGTGTCTGTCTGTGTGTCTGTGTCTGTCTCTTAGCAGCTATCCTTTGTTCCTTGGCTTTTCTTCCTCACCATGACAGGTCGTGGGGAAGAGCATCAGAGGAGGGGAACTGTCCATGGGAGAGAAGCACAAGCTGCTGGGACCTTGCGCACTGGGGGGATGGGGTGCCAGACCAGGCCAGAGTGTAGCGTGTGAGGGCCTCACAGCCAGAGGGAGGGATGCCATTAGAAGAGGGAGAGAGAAAAGGAAAGGAAGAGGAAGGAAGGAAAACAGAAGAATCAAGTAGTAAAGAAGGAAGAGAAGATAGGGGAAGGAAGAAAGGGAAGAGGAGGAGGGAAGTAAGGAAGGAGGGAGGAAGATAAGAGAAAAAGAGGAAAGATAGGGAAGGAATTGCAAATAGGCAGTTTATAGGTAGTCACTTGATGTCCTGTTGTGAGGTGATATTTGACACAGAGGGTGCGTGTGAGTGTATCTATTCAGTCTTCTTTCTCTCTTTCCTTTCTTTGTTCCTTTTTATTTTCTTTCCTATCTTCTTTCTTTTCTTTTTCTCTTTCTCTCCTTTTTTTCTTTTGTCTCTTTCCCTCCTCCCTTCTTCCCTCCTCCCTCCCTCCCTTCCTTCCTTCCTTTCTCTCCCTTTCTTGCTTTTCCTTTTGTCTCTTTGCCTCCCTCCCTCTTTCCCTCCCTCCCTCTCTCCTTCCCTCCTTCCTCTTTCTTTCTTTGTTTCTCTTCACACCTCCCCTTCCCTCCTTCCCTTATATCCTCTCTGCCTGCCTGCCCTCCCTCCCTCTCTTTCTTCCTCCCTCCCTCCCTTCCTTCCTTTGCTTCATTGGTGTGGTGCTGAGGATTGAGCTCAGAGCCTCTTTGTGCACTGGTTTCTTTTCAGTTAGGGCCTCCTTTACGGGCTGTGGACCTCCTACTGTGCTCCACATACCACTGGGATGACAGGCCTGGGCTCCTCCCTGTGCCCAGCCACTAGTTTGGATAGAGTCATGTGAACTACTTTTTCCCAGACTGGCCTCAAAGTACAATCCCCCAATCTCTACCTCCCATTTTGCTAGATTATAGGCTTGAATGGTCACATCCCGCTTCTTTTTTTTTTTTCTTTTTAAGTGCTATCTGCAAATAATCCAGATTCAATTCAGCAATCTTGAGTTGACAGAGCCCTGTGCTAAGTACAACAGTGTGCGCTCAAGCCTGGCTCTGCTGTTTGAGGTCATTGCCAGCCTGGAAGAGCCTGTCGTTAAAGAATCTGCCACGGGGGGTCGCTGTTTCCCTCTTCTCTGGTCCTTTGCAATCCTAAAGGGAGTTGCTTCCGGAAAGAAACTCAATGCTGCTGGCCGGGTGCTGTCTTAACCTGGTTGGCACTTGTTGGGAGGGGTGTGGAGAGGAGATGGGGGGAATAATCCAGAACAGGACACTGCTGATTTCACATTGTGTTTGGGACTCAGAGCGCTGTGGTCTCTCAGGTCTCATGCTGACCCCTTGTCCCAAGGCAGATGCCGCGGCGACCACTGGGGACTTTTACGTCCCTCTCAGCTCTGCCAAGCAGACCCTGCACGTTTATGCACAGTGGCAGACGTTCCTTCTGCTTTTCAGTCCTGACCCTGGTGGGTCTGTGCACGATGAGGCATGTGGTGAACACCATCTGGGGCTTTGCCAGTCTTTCCACAGGGGAACACAGGTCATTTCCCTCTTTGTGGGTGCTGGGTTTTACAGCCATCTCCCGCTTTGTCCACGGGCTCTCCTGTGTGTGCTGATCCCAGGGAAGGAGACTCTTCTTGAGAAGTTGGCCGTGTGTCTCGATGCATGTGTCATAGCTTGCAGGATCTCTGTGGAGTGGGGGATGTGATGGACAGAGGGAGGTTCAGAACCGTGAGGGCTGCCATGTATGAGGCAAGAGCCCCAGCCTCCCTCTCTCGGCCTCCCCGGCCCAGGGCAGTGCAGGAAATCTGTACACGGAGAACCAGACAGGTGCAGACGGTAAACTCACACAGGGAAAGGGTGAAGCGCCAAGGGCGTTGATTTCCTGACTTGCACAGGTCACTGCGCTTTCCCTACCTGAGCTGGCTTGGTGGGAACTCCTGCCTTTCCCCCTTTCATTTTAAACATATTTAACATAAGCTATATATCATGGAGTGAGACAGTTGAGAGTCCGCATCCTACCTAATCCAGTCCTTAGGTTTCAGGAGCCTGGCCCGGGGTTTAGAATCTGGTGGGATTTTGAGTTCCCAGATTGAATTTATGTATCACTACAGCGTTTTAGAAGGAAGTTCATTAACTGAAAGCTTTTCTTTATAGCATGTGCCAGGGAAGTTTTAGAGTGAGCTCCCAAATCAATGATACCATCAGTGTAGCTGACACCCCTTCCTCATAATGACACAGCACCCCATCTACCACTGGATGTGGGGGCCCCGATGTTTCACATGGAGCGCTCACTCAGTAGGTGCATCTTGAAAGACCAGGAGAACACAGGAGCCCTTTGCTGGACTTTGCCAGGAGCACAGGAATGGCAGCCAGCCCCCTGCATGAGCATGAGGGCGTGATCCGTCTTGCTTAGCCCATCACTCACTGGAGAAAGTGTGTGACCATGAAGAGGTCTGGGGGTGGCTGTGTTTCCAAGTGTCCCTCTGTCCCTTCTGTGCTGCAGTGGTACATGAACGGGGTGAACTACTTCACTGACCTCTGGAACGTCATGGATACGCTGGGGCTCTTTTATTTCATCGCAGGGATCGTGTTCCGGTACGTAGCCAGCCCGCCTCACTGTCCCAGGCTCAGGCATTTGGAACACAAAAGTGGAGTGGAGCTCTGGACATCCGAAGCCCACGGGAAGTCCGTGGTGCCACTTCCCCATTGGAGACCGTTGTCCAGGCCCTCATGTGTGCTCTGTGAGCCACAGTTTGCCTGGCAGCAAGTTTGTGTCTCCTCTCTTCCCCTTCCTGGTGATCTGTAACCAAAAAGAAAAAAAGGGCTTCTTTGTCCTCATTGGCATTTGGGACAGATAATCGGAAATCGCAGAGCACAGAGGGCAGTGGAGATGTTAAATATCTTCCAGTATCGGTTCTTAGATGCCCTAGACTTTGGCTTTCATGCTGGCTGTGGCCTTCCAGGTGCCAACACACTCCAGCACAGAGCCAGAGCCTGTGACTAGATATGCAGAGGCACAAGCAGGGTGATTCCATGTCATGGAGAGGGGGTGGGCCCCGCCGTGATCCCCATTGCCCGTGCCCCCGCCCTCAGTGCCTGCCTGCCCACTGAGCTTCACAGCTCCCGTTCTGGAGTGCACATGTGTGGCGCCATCTTGTAGAGCAGCCACACCAGCTCTGCTGCCAGCTGTGAACACCCAAGAGCTCACCCTCCTACCTGAAGGTGGGGTAGGGACCATCCTCAGCCTTCCTACATCAGTCCAGTTGGCAACACATATGATTTGATCTACGCGTTAGCAGGTGGTTAGCCAACTGAGTAATCTGGTGAGAAGGAGGTGAATTTATTAGGGGGACACTTCAGCATCTAGTAAGGGGTTGGGGTCAGGGTTGGCATCTCCTTTGGCATTTCAACCCAAAGGAGTGTCGAGAATGGTTGGTTATTACAGACCTCTACAAGGAAAACTATAAAGCAATGAAGAGGGAAACTGAAGAAGACACTAGATCATGGGATTTATGGGTTGTATGGATTTCATGGATGGGTAGAATTAATATTACAAAAAAGGCTGTATTTATTAAAACTATCAGCAGATTCAGTGAAATCTCCACTGAACAACAGCAACGAAAAGGAATGATTGGTTCCTATAGGACTGTCTCAGGGTGAGGGATGGGGGAGGAGCCTGTGGGGCTCAGCTTTGCTCAGTTCTGACCCAGTCCTGCTCTTCCATGGTGTCCCAGCAGGAGAGCCCCAGTGCTATTTCTGGCCCATTTCCACACACTTTGTGCCCCAAGCCCCCTGCGTGTGGATCCCTTGAAAATGGAAATTATAAAGTGCTTTTCCAGTTATCTACAACTGATCTTTTCCTTCTTCTCATAGGCTGCACTCTTCTAATAAAAGCTCTTTGTATTCTGGACGAGTCATTTTCTGCCTGGATTACATTATATTTACCTTAAGGTTGATTCACATTTTCACCGTAAGCAGAAATCTAGGACCGAAGATCATAATGTTGCAGAGAATGGTAAGAGCCAGGTGGAGCCCTGGGCAGCATTACCGGAGCTCTGTTCAGAGTTCTGTTGGTGGCTGGAGGGAGTGTGTGACCTGTGGGATGATGGTGGCGTTCATAGTCGGGAGGCTTGTTCTCCACGTGTGTTCCTCGGAGCCTTTTCCAGATGACAGCTTCAGAAAACAAGGCTTGAGAGCTAATTTAGAGCCAAGCACAGGTCGCTCATACCTGTAGCCTTAGCTACTTAGGAGGCCGAGATCTGAGGATCATGGTTTGAAGCCATCCTGGGCAGGAAAGTTGCAAATTAGCAAAAACCTGCAAGTGGAGATGTGGCTCAAGTGGTAGAGTGCCAGCTTTGAGCAAAAAATGAGAGAGAGTATAAGACTTTGAGTTCAAGCCCTAGTATTGGCATGCACACACACGCACACACACACACAATACTATATTTCTTGTGCTGCTAGATTTCACTCATGGCTGCCATTTGAGCAAGTGGTTTGCTGAGGGCGTGGTGGGGTGGGGCTCTAGAATCACAGACATGGGCGGTGGAATCCGAGGGCTGCAGTTCCACAGTGATGCATAGAGCAAGGACCATAAGCTAAAGCACATTGTGTGACACAATCGAGGGCAAGTGCCACCTGGAGAGATGCTGTCTCCTAGCGCAGCCTCCAAACAAGCAGACCTCTGCTGTTTCTGTCTGGAAGTCAGATGAGTTGCATCAGCTCATCTCGAAGTTCCTTTCCAAAACTGAGATTGATTTTGTGGTTTCTAACTCAAAGCATTTCGGAGGCACCAGCCACTATGAAGTCATGCTGTGTGTGCAAAATGATGTAAGAAAATTAAACCATCCATTCGTGTCCCCGAAGGACTGCTGCTACTTTCCTAAAGAAATAATTTAGGATTTCAAGAACCTGCATCTCAGGCAGTGTGGACACAGGAAAGATTGCAGGAAGGACTTCCCAAATGGAGGTTTTTCTTTTGTTCTTGAGTTGGGCGCTCTGTCAGCCACGGGTGAGCTGTTTGAAAATGAGTAAGCAAAAGTACACGCGTCGGGGTTAATTGTGGAAAATAAGATGCCCTAAGATCTAAAGGTGAAAGTGTTAATTTTTTAAAAAGCTAATGGCTGAGCAGCTGGTTCAACCTGCTTTTCTGGGCCGTGGGGCTTCGCCCTCCCTCGAGGCCATGTGGGCCAGCCGCGCTGGGCCCAGCCTGACTGCTGTCCTGTCCCCCTCCACAGCTGATCGACGTGTTCTTCTTCCTGTTCCTCTTCGCGGTGTGGATGGTGGCCTTCGGGGTGGCCCGGCAGGGTATCCTCAGGCAGAATGAGCAGCGCTGGAGGTGGATTTTCCGCTCGGTCATCTATGAGCCCTACCTGGCCATGTTTGGCCAGGTGCCCAGCGATGTGGACGGTAAGCCTGGCGTGGCTCTGGGGTGGGGGATGGGGTGCTCGGAGGAGGAAGTTGCTTTGCTGGCCTGCCACTCAGGCCGCAGCTTCAAGTATGCCCAGTCCCCCCGCCCCTCCCCGGGGTCTGGCATCCTCAGTTGAAAATGAACCCCTCTAAATGTTTTCTTTGCTCCTAAAAAAGAATCTCACCTAGCACATTAATAAAAGTGTGTGTGCATGTATGTACCAGCACTGAGTCCTGAACTCAAGGCCTTGAGCTCTTACTTTGGCTTGGTTTGTTTGCTTGGCTGGTGCTCTACCACTTGAGCCACATCTCCAGGTAGCTTTTTTTGTTGGTCATGGGGCCTGAACTCTGAGCCTGGGTGCAGTCCCTTAGCTCCCCAGCTCAAGGCCAGTGCCCTACCACTTGAGCCACAGCACCACTTCCGGCTTTTTCTGCTTACGTGGTGTTGAGGAATCCAACCCAGGGCCTCATGCATGTAAGGCAAGCGCTCTACCACACCTTCCCAGCCCCTCCAGGCAGCTTTTTTGATGGTTTAACTGGAGATGGAGTCTGGAGGCTTTGCTGCTTGAACTGGCTTGGAACTTTGGTCCTCCGGATCTTAGCCTCCTGAGTAGGACTTGAGGCGTGAGCCATCAGCTCCAGGCTTGGGATGCTGACGATGGTGTTGGCTGTCGGCTGGTGTCCTGCTGCCGCGATCAATCCTGGCAGCTTCCCAGAGCCGGGCTGGCACGTGCCACCAACAAGCGGCATGCCCTTGAGAAGCGCTGCCAGCTTTTTATCTCTCAGGTGCTCTGGGGGTCAGCCTTCCTGCCTTTCTAAGGGCACTCTGCTGCCCTGGGCTCTGAGGATCATCCCTGGCCATGAGCAGCTCTAAGGCCAGGGGTTTGTATCTCCCCTTGCCCCCTCCCTCCCTCCTGCTCCCCCTCCCTTCCTCCCTCCCTCTCTCCCTTCTTTTTCTCTTTTTCAATCTTTCTTTTTCTTTTTCCCAAGCCTATTACTGATTTCTCTTTTGGCTGGTCTTGGGACTTGAACTCAGGGTCTGGACACTGTCGCTAAGCTCTTCTGCTTGGTGCTCTACCACTTGAGCTCCAGCTCCACCTCTAGCTTTTTTAGTGGTTAATTGGAGATGTAACTTTCATGGACTTTCCCGCTTGGGGTTGGCTTCGAACCACTATCCTCAAATCTCAGCCTCCTGAGTGGCTAGGATTACAGGCGTGAGCCGATGGCCCCTGCTCTCCCGCCTGTTTGGAGCTGAGCCTGCCCAGACACAGCTGAGCATGTCCAGGGAAAGGTCCCGTCTCCTATCTAGGCTCAAGGTTCCTCCAAGGTCCCCAAGCTGGGCAGCTTCTTAGGGGCACAGCTGTGCGTGCAGGCCAGAGCCCACTGCGTCCTTCATTCCACTCCCACATTCCGGCCTCAGCGACTTGAGTGGATTTTTGTCTCCACAGTGTCCTTGAGTCAGACTGCTTGGTTTCACCTGCTCCGTATCCAAGCTGTCCTCATTCCTGTCTGCCAGGAGCTTAATCACAAGCCCCACATGTCCTTCTTGGCTTTCGCATGGTCTCTGCTGCTGCCAGAGGGCCCTCCCATGAGACACAGCTGATAACCCAGACTGATGGCTTCCCATTGCTTTAGTATACAACTCGGAAGTGTGGCGTGTCTAGTCACTTCTTTCATGTGAGAGGTCAGTGTTTCCAATCGCCACCACAGGGCCTTGACACATGCTGGCCTGGGTAGGAATGCTCTGGGCCCCTCTTCCTCCCTGCTCATTCCTGTAGCTGGCTCCCACCTTCTCCTTATGGCATGTTCTTTTGGAACCCGTCCCTGGTGCCCTGACCTCTCAGGTGGGTACGAGGATACGTGCCCACTCAAGGCTATGAAGCCTGACCCTGTTGCCCTTCCTTTGACTTTGGCTTCAGTAAAGTCCCTGGCTTACTTGGTAAGTACTGACTGATAAACGGGCAGCCACCCGAGGCCTTCCATGACGGAGATCCTGTGTCCTCCGGGCTGCCTGCCCCTCACCCTTCTAGAAGGGCCTCACTGGCCCTCCACATGTGTGCCCTCAGGGACCACCTACGACTTCTCCCACTGCACCTTCTCCGGGAACGAGTCGAAGCCGCTGTGCGTGGAGCTAGATGAGCACAACCTGCCCCGCTTCCCCGAGTGGATCACCATCCCCCTGGTGTGCATCTACATGCTGTCCACCAACATCCTGCTGGTCAACCTGCTGGTCGCCATGTTCGGGTAGGCACTCGGACTCACACCTACCCCAGGCCGGCCCCGGGCCGGCGGCCATAGCAGCACAGCACCCGTAATGATGGGTTTAGAGGCAGGGTCTTAGGGGAGCAGTAGGGGACCATATCACAAACAGCATGTTCGGACAAGCAGTGCTTTACGTGGTCAGCTTGTGTTGGTGGGCGAAGGGTTTGAACTCAGAGCCTAGTATTTCCAGGCAGGTGCTGTCCAGCTGAGCCACGCCTCCAGCCTCCATGGCCTCTGTCCACTTGACAGCAGGGACAAGCACCCGCAGCCACCGTCAGTAAGTACAGACTGCGTGCAGCACCCTGGCCACCGCTCCCCAGGGTGCTGTGGCCACCACAGTGCTGGTGGCTCAGCCCCAGGGACTCAGTGACTCTCGCACTTCAAGGGCTTTAGTTAGCCACCATTTTAACACATTTCATGTAGATAAAAGTATAAAGGCAAAGCCTGCCCTTTGGGCTTATGTAGAATGAGTCTGAAGTGAAAACCTGGTACGTGAAAGGTACTGGCTTTGGTCATTCTCCTTCGTATGCTTAGACTACGGCTGTTTTCTTTCTTCTTCCTTAAAGGGGCTTCAAAGAGCGCAAGGTGGCCATTTTAGCCCAAGAACTGCTTCATAATGTTGAAGGTACACAGTCACTGTAGATACATGAATTCTAGCACTGACAAAGCCTTTATAAGCAACCATCTAATTTTAAGGATTTATTGATTAAACCTTGATGTGAAAGAGGTTTTTGTTTCAAAACCAGAAGCTATACATGACAAAATAAGCATACTTGGTTTCGAAAAGCACTTTTTTGTTTTAAAGATGAAAGAGACCAGGCCAGCCATCAGTGTGTCACACCTGTAGTCCAAGCAATTCAGGAGGCTGAGATCTGGAGAATTCAGTTTAAGGCCTTCCTGCTCAGAAAAGTCTGCCAGACTCCACTTCCAATTTATCAGTAAAAAGGAAGGCTAGAGACATGGTCTAGGTGGTACAGTGCCAACAGAGAAAGCATGCAGTCCTTAGTTCAATCCCCCATACTGGCAAAATCCTCTTTGAAGACATTCCTTCTCCCCCCCCCCCCCCACCACCAAGAAGAGACATCTCCCATGAAGTGATGCATGATAGATGAGGGACATTTTTGCCACAGGTATGAGAAATAAAGGCTTTTATTCGTGGCCAAACATGACTGGAAGCTTATCAGAAGAAGATGCCTCACAGCAAAACTGCCAGAGACAATGGCCAAGTACTCAGAAAGGGAAAATCCACACGGTGGTCAATAGCATAGGAAAAAAGGAATTTACCTCAAGGACAGGACATTGGTGTGAGGTGCTGGGTGTGAACCCACACAATGAGCAGAAGTTCAAGGAAGGCTGTGTGGTTGAGGAGGAACCTAAGAAGGATGGTTGCTGATAACTCTTTAGAAGCCCAACTTCCTTGCATCTGGGACTCTATCCTAACTATGAGCATAGACACGTGTTTGTGTACACACACATATACACATGCACATAAGTGTATCTATGCGCATATAAGTGTAAATACATATGTATATGCAGAATGAAGTATAAGTATATGCGTATGTACATAGGGACATATGTATACTTCACTTTGTGCCTGCAGGGATGGTTCTAGAACATCTGTGCTAAAAAATCTCGGCAATTTCGTTGAGAGATCTCAGAAAGGTTTCATTATTCCATACCGTAGCATTCTGGGTAAATTGCAAGCTTCCTTCCTTCCCCAGTGAGGCCATCTATGGCCAGGCCCAGCTCCAGCGTATTTCCAGCCCAGCCATGCAGTCCCTGCCAGGGCATGTATTTGTCCCCAAAATAGGGTGACCTATTACACACACACACACACACACACACACACACACACACACACACACACACACACACACACACACGTGTGCTTTTGCACATACTCCTCCCTCCAGATTACCAGCTCCGTCCTCTTCTCCTCTTGCCGGTGCCTGCTCTCCTCTATGGTGAAGGCCCCTGACACCCTTGTATCTGGGCCCCAACACTCCCTCCTCTTAAACAGTAGCAAATTGTCTTTCCAATCCGGTCAGCTCCGAGAATGGTGCTTGCCTATACTCTCCTCATCCAACACTTCGTGGGTTTGTTTGTGGATGAAAGGGACAGGGCTTTGCTAGCTCATCCTTCAGTTAATGCTTACAACCTTAGCTTCCTGGGGCATTCTTTACGGAGAAGCATGTAGGTGAATCAGAGACCAGGAGAGACCCAGAACAGGTGTGCAGCCTTGTGCCAGGTACCTGAGCCATGAAGATCATGAAGCCATTAGAGGCCTTCATGAGGCAGTGAGCCGCTCTCTCCTTGCCCACCCAAAGCTGCTGGCCAGGGGAGGTCTCAGGAGCCGGACTGCTTCTCATACGTAGGCCGCCACTGTCAGAGAGTCCAGCTGGGAGAGGGCCTCGGGTGCACACTCAGTCCCGAAGAAGCAGGCCTTCTCCAGAAATTAGATCCAAAGGCCAGCAGCTCCCAAGGCCATGGCCACTGTGACAAGTCCATTTAGTGAACCTCAGACTCAATGTTCCATGAGCTGATCAAAAAATCATGCAAGAGGACTGTGTCCCCTGTGTGTCCACTGCCTGAGTTGAGGGGTTCAGGGTCTGCTCTGTGAGGAGACAGCCCCAGGCCGTGCCCACAGTCTGCCACCACATCACAAAACTCATTTAAAAGTGGAGCAACCTTATTTACTGTGCCCCTTGGGGCACCAGGGGCATTGCTGTGCTCTCTGCATGGTACTCAACAGAGGAGAAACACACAAACACCTGCGATTATTCTACAGCAAGATAACCAATTCCAGTCTCTGAACAGCTTCCCCTTGGCCAGAAGTGAACTGAAAGTCAGTGGGTGACTCTAGGCCACCTGCCCTGACGATGAACCCACCCAGCACACCTCCGATGAGGACTCGCCAATCTAGAATCATTTCTAGACTCAACCAACGATCTAGAATCATTTCTAGAACCAGCCAATAATCTAGAATCGTTTCTGAGAATACACTTCTTAATTCTTAGGAATAATAACAGTAGGCTTATAAATAGAAAAGTAGAAGAAAGGAAAAAAAAATCACCAGATACAAACTACAAAGTTTGTGTTATTTAGCTCTCTTAAGGGACATTACAGAAATGGAGGACCAAAAGAAGGTGACATCTAATTGAAATGATAGTAGTTAATGCAATTGAAGCTTTCCCATGCTAAACACAGGGTCAAATGCTGGATGTGTGCTCCCTGATGTAATTGTTAACTACTGTGTCAGTATAGTCTAATAATGGTTCCCAGTGAGGAGTCAGACACAGAGGATATATCCTAGTGCTGAAGGAAGAGACAACGTGTAAACGTTTAGTAGAATGCAATGTCATGCAATATAATGTAATATAATATGATACATGTGGTATAATCAGCATGACAAGTCCACTTATAGAGAAAGACGTTCTTCCATGGCTGCACTGTGTCTGTCAGCAGCAGCCGGTGCATAGGGGTAGCTTCTCTCTCAGGACTGGGTACTTGTTGCCTACAGTGTCGGTGGGGATGAAGGAGAAGGGCAAGAAGGCAGACACAGATGTTTGCAGAGTCTTCTAGGCACACTAAAGTACATAGACTTTTCCTGAAGGGCCAGGGGAGTTCGTGGGCCTTTACACAGAGGTATGGCTCATGTTGGCTATGGTACTCGGGTAGCAGCTCTATATGCCAAGTTGGATTATTGTTCAAAACCCGTGGCATGAAATCGCTGGTTGTCTCTTCTTGTTGCTGGCAGTTGACTTTCTGTTTCCTCCTCTCCACTCCATCCTGTGAAGTTTATCAATGGCATATTCTAGGATCTTGTTGAACTCATTTCAGGCTCATCCACCTTCTTCCTATTTTCTGTTGTAAAACCACTTCTCTTTTAGAACAGTGAGCGTAGATAACCTACCTCATGCGCAGATGGCCTCTGGAGTTTAAGGATGAATATCTTTTTGTTCTGTTTCAGTTGATGGTGAGCTGTTTATTCCTATGCAGGTGTCTGCTGATGGGGGCTGCCCACCGAGGCTGTTGGCACCTCCACTCTCCCGGCACTGGTCTTTTCTTGGTGGTGTTTCTTTCTTTGGAGTCCTCTCTTCAAGTGACTTCCACATCATCATGTTGCAGAATGAGAGGGGAGCACTGTGTGCTGCACACTGCAACTCACACACCAGGCAGTCTGAAGGGTACCAAAGTCAGAGTCACCCCCTATCCCAAGGCCTGGGCAGCACTGTGGTTGGCTTTTTGCTGGTAGGCCAGGGAGGAGTGAGTGACCATCAGACATTGGTGAAAAACTGGGAGAATAAGCTCACCAGATAGAAATGGAATTTGCATTTCTTCTGAAATTCTAATTTTATTGTCAAGGAGATGCACAGAGAGGTTACAGTTATATTAGGTAGTGATTACATGTCTTGTCTAACTTGTTACCCCTTCCCTCATTTCCAACACACTGTCCTGTGAGTATCGCTGCTGCCTAGGTCCCCCTTTGCCCTTTGTCTCACCATTTTGTTGGTTCCTTCCCTTCCCTAGTTCAGATAAACATATATGCAGTCAGTACCAGGGTACCAAAATCGAACACAGTGACAACAGGGGATAAACCATAGGGGGAAGACACAAAAGAAAAAAAGAAATCATGTAGTACATTGAGAACAAGAACAACAAAGAAAAAAAAAACCTCTCGTGTCCATCTCTTGGAGTTCATTTCGCTTATCATCATCTTATATGGTCCTGTGTATATAGGTATTGAGCTATTCTGCTCATCTGCTACTACCATTATTTTGACATTTACTTTTGCCTTTGTGATTTTTTATTTTTATTTTTACAGAATTTCGCATTCTGGTTTGATCAGCCTTTCTATTTTTTGTTTTTACTACCAAATGGCTTTCATTACTGAGTCACTACTATTAATTTTTTTTTTATCATCTTCACATCTGTTACCCAAGTTCTTCCTTGTTTTTCACATCCAAAGCTTTCCAGGCTTTCCTTGCATTTTTAATTATAAGAAGCAGCCCAAGGCTCATCTTGTAAAACTTTCCTTCTCTCTCTTTCCAAGAAAAAATACCTTGTGAATTTTATTGTGATGATCTTTGTAGAATTATTAAGGAGAAATTAGCTACTAACTATTCAGAGAAAATGGTATTATCTCCATTTGCTTCAAATATTTGTGTATTGGTATAGTTTTGTGGTTTCTTTCATATGGCTCTGGCAGATTTATTATTTTAGCCACTTAGGTTGTGAATGAGATTATTTTTGTTTGTGTCACTGTCTGCTTTTTTATATGTAATAAAAGGTCTGTTAGAGTTTTGCTTATTTATTTTGGAATAGCTTTTCTTGAGTTTTCTCTTTTTTTTGTTTCCTTTCACCATATAATGAGAGGTTCCTTTTCTTCCTTATTTATTAAGCTTCCTCCTCTTCCTCATTCTTCCTCTTCCTCCTCCTCTTTTTCTTCTCTCTCTCTTCCTCACCTTCTCTCTGACTCTCTCTTTTCTCCTCCTCCGCTCTATCTTCTCTGTCCCTCCCTCCTAATCAGAAAAGGATGCTGAACATTGTCTAAAGACTTTCTTGCAGCTTGAAGTCATATTTTCCTTTTGATCTGGTATTATGATGTATTGTACAAACGATGAATTATACAAAGGTTTTAATATTTAGTCATCCTTCTGTTCCATGGTCACAGCCTCTTACTCCTTTCACAGAAGCTTCTGGATTTCATTTATGCGTGAGGCTATCTGAATCCTAAACGTCTGTTAGATGTTAGGAACATTTCCAATCTCAGTGAATTTCTAAGATTTTGTCTCTCTTTGGGGGATTCTGCTTCCCCCTCCTGTCCTGCTCAGCTGTGGTTGCTCATCTGATCCCAGGAAATGACCTCACCTCTCCCACGCATCTCCATTGCCTGGGACGAGACTCCAGAGGCGCAGGATACCATGTGAGATGCCACATTGAAGGCAAACAGCAGACTCCTTTTGTGGAAGATGCCAAGGGCTGGTGGTGGACAGGAGAAGCCCTGAATTGGGGCTGGTGAGACCTTTGGCCAAAAGAAAGTGTCTAAGCCACTCTGATGCTTGTGTTGCTGTGAGGTGTAAATGTGTGTGCGTGTGCATGCGTGTGTGCATACATGTCAGCAGCACAAGGCCTTCTCTGTAGTGTTCATCTCTACAGACATGAAAAACAATGGCTAAAGAATACAAAAGTCACTTTGGGAAAAGGCAGTTTGAAATAAGTGCTTGGTTATCAGCCACTTCTTGGAGATCCCATGTCTATTTGGCTGAGTCTGGAACTGACTTGCAAGAGAGAAGCAACATTGTGGAAGCACAGCCGGCTTACCTGAGCCCTGCGGGGTGTGGGTACCTAGATTTTCCATTTCTCTGGGGAAGGATGCTGCTTGTGAGCTCTTTCTCTGTCCCCTGAGGTGCTGAGGAAGTTGCTAATCCAACAGGATGGTCCTAGATGTCACTTGGTTTGGGCTGCAGAGCAGAAGAAGCAATTCCATGCAAGGCAGAGCTCTTTAAAATAGAGCAGGATGCAGTCTCAGAGCTGGGTTTCATAGGCCCTGGCCTACATCCTCCCCATGCCAGGGCCAATTGGGGCCGGCGCCTGCAGGCCTGCTCTGCATGGGCCAGCTGGGCCCTTTGCTAGATGCCATGCCAGTGACCTTGTGTCCATCTGGACTGGCCTGCTTTCCCAGCTCATTGTCCATGGAGGGCTGTCCAGAAGCAGGTGAGGGAGGGGCTAGATCTGGATACAGGCTGCAGTTTGCCTATCTCCATTCTAGAGAATCTAGAAGGGCAGGTGTTTTCCACTGACCACGCGTGGTCAGGTGAGCTGAGGGCCCCATACGTCTTCCTCCTTGACCTTTTCCCCACCCTCCACAAGGCTAGGAGGGATGTCCATGTGCCAAAGAAAACATCTTCCTCGCTCTGTGCATTGCAGATGTCCTCTCTTTGTTAGGACTGATGAACTGCTTTTGGATTCAGACCTCTGAAAACAACAGTTTCACGCATTAAAGTAGATGCAGCTGCGTGCGTGCGTGCGTGCGTGCGTGTGTGCGTGTGTGTGTGTGTGTGTGTGTGTGTGTGTTTGCTGTGAACAGTCAGTATAATCCTTTTTGGACTAGATCCACAGCAATTTAAAGATGTGTTGGAGGACAATAATTTGAATAATGATCCTTGTTTTGGCACAAAGCAGCAAACTGTGATTTTTCTGGCAAGTTCTCAGCCTGAGCATCATTAGTCTGTGGTGCATTGGTTGGTGTGCTGGATGCTGGAGGTGCAGGCAGAAGGTGGGTGATGATGCTGGCAACCTCCAAGCAACCTGACCTACATTCGGAAGAAACGTGGTTAGATTCCATCTTTTGTGCTGTAATCTGCACAGTCCTGTGTGTCTTTCACCTAAAAAAGTCTGCTCCATGGAGTCGACAAGGTTAGCCACGTAACCATTTTACCCAGACTCTGTGAAGGGTAGATGCTCAGTCAGCCTGAATGTCTCCTGTAAACAAACTCGCCCTGGTCAGCAGACCCTGTGTGCATTACAGAGTGCTTTGTAGACATCAAAAATGCCAAGTCACCCAGTGAGATGTTCTTGAAATAGAGTTATCACTCAAGCCATGTTTTGAACAAGTGTAGCTGAAACATGATACGTTTTCTCTACTGCAGGAAGATAGTGTCCAGGAGGGCAGGATTGCTGGGCCCAAATTCTGTGTTCGACCCTGACTAGTTGAGAGACTCAAGGAATTGACTTATCTTTGTAGTGTCACAATTTCCCCAGTTCATTGTGGAGGATAATAGAATCTGTAGAGTTATTTGCAGATTAAATCAGCTAATATATAATAGAATGCTGGTAATAGTGTCTGGTTGATAAGAAGTGCTACCTGTCTTGTGCCTTAGCTTGATTTGCACATAGAAAGTCAGTGTATAATTAGTTTGGAGGCAGAACATTAAATAGACATAATTTTTTTTTTGCTGGTCATGGGGCTTGAACTCTGGGCCTGAACGCCGTCCCTCAGCTTTTCAGCTCAAGGCTAGTGCTCTACCACTTGAGCCACAGTGCAACTTCCTAGACACATAATTTTTATTAGTGTAAATTAGTTGCACAAATAGGTTTTACTGTGGTGTTCAGAACATGCATGTACTGTCCCTTGATTAAATCAAATCCACCTGATCTGTATTACTTTTTCTTTTTTTGTTGGTCATGGGGCTTGAACTCTGGACCTGGGCGCTTCCCCTTTAGCTCAAGGCTAGCGCTCTACCACTTGAGCCACAACACCACTTCTGATTTTTCTGGTGGTTAATTGGAGATAAGATCCTCATGGACTTAGCTGCCTGGGCTGGCTTTGAACTGTGATCCTCAGATCTCAGCCTCCTGAGTAGCTGGGATTACAGGCGTGAGCCACCGGTGCCTGGCTTGTATTACTTTTTCTTACTCTCCCCTTTACCCTTTAACAGTTTTTGATATGCATAGAACATACATATATGCGTATGCTATATATGCACATATTATATACAGATAAACATATTTACATATTTTTCTCAAAATTTCCCTATTCTTGGGTTAAACACCCAGAAGTGAGGACATTGGACCACAAGGATGAACCCTTTCATGAGTCCTGACGATCACATACACATTGTTTCTGCGGGCTATTTTCAGTTCAGCATGCACAAGGGGCAGCTGACCATTCCTAAGAACAATTCTATTAAAGTTCACTGAACATGTTTTTGTGATTACTAGAAACAAACCACGTAAGTCAGGCATACGGAGGGGCAGTGTGAACTGCTTTCGTGTCAGGATGGCAGATAATACAGGAACTGCTGGGTGTCTGCATCCTACTATTGGGTGGCGAGGGGGTGGCGCTCTAAGACGTGGCTTCCCTCTCTCCCTCCAGCTACACGGTGGGCATAGTGCAGGAGAACAATGACCAGGTCTGGAAGTTCCAGAGGTATTTCCTGGTGCAGGAGTACTGCAGCCGCCTCAACATCCCCTTCCCCTTCGTGGTCTTCGCTTACTTCTACATGGTGGTGAAGAAGTGTTTCAAATGCTGCTGCAAGGAGAGGAACATGGAGTCTTCTGCCTGCTGTGAGTGGTGGGTTCTGAAGCAGGGGTCCATTTCAAGGTGTGTGTGGGATGAAGCATCCCGCTGCGGCTCACTGCTCACGCCGGCACCTCTCCAAAGATCAGGCAGCTGGCCGGCCCTCGGATGACTCGAGAGAAGGCATCTAGATCTGGGGATCCCCTACTTTGAGGGGAGAAACTTTCAGATGCATGTAACAATAATGTAGACAGTATATTGATTGAGCAGAATTCATCAGTTACCAAGAAATCATGACTTTGGTTTTGTTTTTTTTTTCCTTTGCTTCAGTGAAATGTATTCTCTGGGAAGTGTGAACTTCCACTTCAGTAGGGTAATGTGCTTTTGCCGATTGCTTCTCTTAGTCATTTTCCCATCACTCTTACAAAATACCCAACACAATTAACTTATAAGGAAAAAGTTTATTTCACTCAGTTCTGGAGACTCATTCCAAGATGAAATAGTCCCATTGCTTTAGGCCTGGTGAAATCGGGAAGGCAGTGACAGAATAAATAAATCACTTACATTATCAGCCAGGACGGAGGGAGCAATTCAGAGACTGGGGGCTCATAATCCCCTTGAAGGGTATACCTCCAGTGATCCAGCGCCCACTCCCAAAGGAAACACCACCTGTCCACAGTGCCAGCTGAGGGGACCGGGCCTTTCACTTGTGGACCTTTGCAGAAAATGCATCCACTGTGGCCCCCAAAGATTCCTGTCTGTCTGACAATACAAAACATCTTTACCCCATCCAGGAGTCCACAGAGTCTCTTCCAAGACTCAGGCAAAACTCTGCAGTGAGCCTCTGTAGACATAAAAGAAAGTCACGTGCTTTCAAGACACAAGGACAGGGCAGGTATGCGAAAGAATCCAAGTTAGAACGGAAAATCACAGTGTGTATGTCTGTTCCCAAATCCCCAAGGCAAGAGTCTACCAGCATCATTTCCCACAGCCCTCTGGGCATGCTGGTTCAGCACACGCTGGTCAGGTGACCCCCGTGTGCCAGCCAGGCTCTCTGGCCACAATATGAAGTGGGATCCAAGTGGTGCCCACTCCCAGGCCCACTAGGAGCTGAAAGAGGAAAACAAAAAGCCTTAATTGAAAAGTGGGATTTGCTGATTTTAGAGAATATACGGAGTGTGGAGAAAGCAGCAGAGGGGAGGCCGAACCCTAGACCAGAGCAGGCAGAGAAAGCTCTCTCCAGGAAGGGTCACTTAAGCCTCGTTCATGCGTTCTTGGGTGTGTGTCTTCCTAGATACACGGGACATTCTGATGTGCCACCGACGGACTCCCATTCCACGCTGGGCTAAACTTTCTTGTCCCTTTAGTGGGCCACCAAATATGCTGAAACATAGTAACCTAGACATAAAGTGGTAATTAGGGAAGCTTTAGGACTGGCGATGTAGGCTCATGGGTAGTGCTCTTGCCTGCATGTCCTGGGTTCAGTGCCCAGTATATCCTTCCATCCTGAAAAATGAACATGCTGAGAGCCATCATTCTTGGGGGGTGGCTTTTCCATAGGAGCAAAATTCTCATATAAGTCTCACCTTAAATACTGGTGGTAATGGATGTGTGCTATCTGTATGGATCTAATTCTTCCTTACAGATTGGCTTATCTAATATAAATGCTCAGCTCACATCATCCTATAGAGAATTCTCATAATTAACTCTTTAATAACATGATCTCAAGACATTAAATATTACCTTGGAGCTGAAATTAACTATTACCTATGTAATTGTCTTTCCTTACTCAAGTATTCTGACAACTTGATAGTGTTCTTTCTGTCTTTTTCTCGTAACATTTTGCTTTGGAAGCAAAGTGAACTATTTTGAAGTCAAAGAATATTAACAATGGGAACTGGAAGTACAGATAGGAAATTTGAGAATACTCAAAGACCACATCCAACTATGAGAAGCTTTTTATGACCTTCCCCAGGGCAGTCTGTGGTTCTGTCCTGAAATCACGTCACAGATGATCATTTTTCTGTCCCTGGGAGAAAACATTCTGGGAACCATCAGTATCTTAGAAAGGCTCACAGATTTCAGAGATCTTGAAAGGGCCAGAGGAAAACAAGCAATAGAAATAAGCTATAGCAATGAAGATTTTGACTCAGTATATTTTAACTTCTTTTTTCCTTTTCGTGGTATTGGGGTTTGAACTCCGAGCCTTCCATTTACTAGGCAGACACTCTACCACTTGAGCCATCCTCCCAGCATAGACACATCTGTGCCTAATAATTAGTGCTGATTAGCAGAGGAGTCAGTGCCTGTGAGGTAGTGAATTCAGCCCATCGGGTAGACAGAGGGCTTTGGTGAGATAATCGTTCCATTCTCCAGAGATCTGTTGCTGGCAGTCCATGCTCTGGGGAATCTGGCAGCTCGATGTGTAAATAGGAAAAACCAGCTTTCTGGATTCAGGATGAGGTCGACAGGGCAACTGTGTTACATTCCTCCCATACCTACTTAATGATTAAGCACGATATGGACATAACATGGAGATGTGTCCCAAACTGACCTGCAGATGAAACAGAGCTTTAAGCTCCAGGCACCAAACAGATGGTCAGAGGTTCATGATGCTGCTCTGGGTCCCCGGCCAGCTCTTCTGAGCGTGAGGAACTCACAGCTGTTGGAGAAGCAGCGTGATTGGGGTGTTCTCTCTCTTGAAACAGTTACTATTCTTTGGGAGAAACAGTGAGAGGGAATGGGGAGGGTCCCAGGACAGGGGACCCTCTTCCCCAGGGACTGGGCAGTGATGGGGGCAGAACGGGTCAGAGACCTTTGCCCACTGGAAACGCCCCACTTGCCCAGCCTCTGCCTGCTCATTTGCTTCTATTACCAAATCCAGACACCACAGCTTGCTGCCAAGCCTCTGGCTGGTAGTTCACTTCTTAAGTGCACTGTGCATTTACCTCCAAAGGAAGGGAAGTGATGTCTTCCATTTCCAGATTTCTCCTTTCTTGGAAAAAAATGCATGATTTTTTTCCAAATAACTAGCAACCAAACTTTCACTTTTGATATTTGTTTGGCAATGCCTTTAAATAATAAAAAAGTATGCTGCCCAGTAATCTCATTTTCATAAACATACACTTTTATTGTGATCCAGGAAACAATCTGTGCCTGTCATAGGACATTTGAAAAATATGGAAAAGCATAAAGATCAAGGTTATATATAGCCCACTGTCCATTCTCAACAACCTGGTATTTATTCTTATTTGGATGTATAATATTTGTATTGCCCTGTGCATATTAACTCATGACCTAATTAGTTTATTTAGTTAATAGTACATTATGAGTGGTTTCAATGTAAATAAGAATCTATATTATAATAATTGGTACATGTGTGCCAGGCCTGAGGCTTGAACTCTGGGCTGGTGCTATCCCTCAGCTTTTTTGCTCAAGGCTAGCACTTTACCACTTGAGCCACAGCTCCATTTTTAAATTGTTTTTGATGCTTAATTGGAACTAAGAGTCTCATGGACTTTCCTGCCCAGGCGTCTTTGAACTGCTATCCTCAGATCTCAGTCTCCTGAGTAGTTACGATTACAGGTGTAAGCCACCAACACCTGGCGCATAACAATTTTTAACTGTAGAGTATTTCAGCTTATGGATGCACCCTAATAAACTTATCCCCTCTTGTTACACATGAAGACTGTTTTGACTCTTTTTTTTTAGCATATGCCATGATGGTAGAATTTTTTGTGTTCATTTTTGAGCATATCAGTCATTTTTCCTTTGAGTTATTTTTAGAAGAGAAATTTGGAGAGAAAGAGTATGTGTACTTTCAAGACATTCTGTATTATCTCCACTGTCTCCTGCTCTCTCCTTTCTGAACATCCCTCATTTCCCCTGAGGCTGTAGCAAGTGACCCACTTCTTCCACTAATGGGTGACCGGCTTTTTCACATCCTTCCCAACACAGGGAATGGCCATTCTTTTTTTAGACCCTAATGATTTCCCAGGATGAGCAGTGAAAGTACTAAGTCATCACTTCAGCTAGTGCTTTCTTGACAATAACAGACTGGCCCTTTTTCTTTGTTGTTTGTCTTTCTTATTCTCTGACCATTTGTGCACAGACACGTCAGCCCTTTCTGGGTTGACTTTTAAGTACCCCCTTGAGATTCTACATATCTTCTTGTGTGAAACGGGGGAAAAGATACTTGAAAGGACTCTGTTCAAACAAATGCAACTAGGAAACAATTTGGTCATCAATTATTTTGCAACATAAGTAACCATCATTTGAAAGTAAATACATATCTGCTATATGGAATTTGCAGAGATCTAGTCATTTACATCTTGATTCTGTCTTTGATAGAATCCCCAGATGAACTCTTTGTAAATCCAGGAAGATGCTGTAGTTCCTAAATGCAAATGGATGCATTTAAGGGGTTAGTGAAAGGTCAAGATAACATGCATCTATTCCAAGAGGCCACCTGCATGAACATATGTTTTTCTTGCCCCTGAATTTATGAGGTTTGATGCCTGTTCCCTTACTGTCTGAAATGTAGGTAATGTGATGACTTGAGCTTTTGTGATTTGTGCCTTGCCATCTGAAATTAATGAACTGAGAATCACACCTGAACATACTCCTGCTCAATTTTACAGCAAGCTCTGGATGATGGGGAAAGTCTAGAGCTAAGAATATTCTTGGAGATCTACACCCAGACTACCCAGATCTATACCCAGAATACAAAGGTCATGAGCTTAGTTATCTTACCTTCTCCAGAGTTCTTGCCTTGGTTTTAAGTGGAGAGTTGGTAATCTATGATTTTTCTAGTCATTACCTTTATGAAAGAGGATCTCATGACAAACATAAGAAACAAATTCATGAGTGTAATGAGTTTGCTAAGTCACAGAACCACACATACATGAGATTTGAATCCATCTCAGACTGGAATAAAGATCACATTCTTACTTCACGCAAGCAGCTCCAAGTCCTCATTGTTGCCAAGAAATCCATTAGGATTCTCTTGTTCAGCTGCTATAGTACTAATAAGTAACATCAGTCAGATCAGCCTGCACAGGACAAATCTAATCCTTCTGCCTCCAGAGTCTTTCATAATGCCCCGCAGATGTTGATTTAGAAAGCAAGAGGCAGAGACAACAGTCTGATTGATTTTCTTTTTTCCTTATTCAAGGTTTCAAAAATGAGGACAATGAGACGTTGGCATGGGAGGGTGTCATGAAGGAAAATTACCTGGTCAAGATCAACACGAAAGGCAACGACAATGCAGAGGAGTATGCTTGTCTTTCTCATCTCTATACTTTAAGTCAGCAGAGGAGAGCTGGCTTATGTGAGCATGCTTTCTTTCCAGTGAGCATATTCAGCAGAGAATGATATTGTCCCAAAGATATCATCCAGATAACTAAAGATATTAAAGACAGCACTTACATACATGTGTAGCAGTCTTTCAAGAAGGGAAAAGATACTGTCCTTCCATACCCCCCCCCATGCATGCACACACACACACACACACACACACTCTCTCTCTCTCTCTCTCTCTCTCTCTCTCTCTCTCTCTCTCTCTCTCTCTCTCTCTCTCTCACACCCCACCCGCCATCCTGCTTCTCCTTCAGGGTCCTGGGGGAGAAAGAGGTAGGTAGAGACTGTGCTGGAGGGCTGAGAGCCGTGTCTGTGGAGGGGGGTTCCAGGAAGGTGCACAGGTAGTTGTCTTTAGCATACAGAGCACACACGTGTATTTGTCTCTGTGATGCAGATGGACAGAGATGAGACTATTACCAGCTGTTCTGGAAATTCCTGCACATCATTTCTGAATCACACAGAGTTGTAAATGTTCCTGTTCTTCCTAAATGCAGTTATTAAATATCTTCTAATAGAGAAGTCAGGGCTAAGTCTGCAGGGAGGCCTCCAGGGGTGGGTAACAAAATGTATGGGCGCTTACTCTGCCCTTTTGTGGAAGTTAATCTTCTTCACTGACAGCTGTCACTCTTCTGGGCACTCAGAACACACTGCAAAGTGTGCTTACATGGTCTAAATGGATACAGGGAGAACAGATCCCTGAGTGGAGTCCAGCAGAGTGATTGAGAGAGGCCTGGATGCTCTTTGCTTAAACAACGAGGTGGATGTCCTGGGTTCTTAGGCTCAGGTCTGGGGTGCAGAGGGAGGGGAAGACCTTTCTCAGTGTACTCCTCTACCCCATCAGCAGAAGGAGCATTTATTTGCTAACCTTTGGCTTGGAGCAAGAAAAGAATCGGCTTGGTTTGGGTTTTAGGAGGGAAATCAGAAAGGTCAATCAGTGCAGCTGACCCTTGATTGAGCTGACGATCAAAACAGTCTGAAACTCTGCCCTTTAAAAGACTCGAATGGAGCCAAAGAGCCCTAGCTCCATCTGTCTCTCTTTCTTTCTCTCACTTTCTTGTTTAATTTCTCGGCAGAATGAGGCATCGTTTTAGACAACTGGATACAAAGGTATGGTTCTCTATATATTGGTTAGGGAGTGGATTTTTTTTTTAAACCATGTACGTTTAGTATCTTTGAACTTTTGTGTAGAAGTGGATGCTTATGATCAGACAGCAAGAAGAGTTAACTGTTTTAAGAAAACAGATGTGATTCTGTTCCACATTCATTATTGTCTTCATTCGCCATGATGCTGGGGGCTGGGCTGGGATTGCTGCTCATGCTCACAGACCACACGGGTACTGAGATGCCACCACCATGATCTTTAAGATATTTTCCATCACGTCTAGTCCAAGGCTTGCTTTTCCTCCCCACTGTGAAGTACGTGGAGATGGTGGCAATGGGGAAACACAAGGAAAACTTAGAAGGGCTCTTGAGCAATTTGTGAGCACGACCAAATCTAGATTGTTCCTTACTTAATTGGGAGACCACTGTCTGTGTGTGTGTGTGTGTGTGTGTGTGTGTGTGTGTGTGTGTGTGTATGTGTGTGTGTGTGTGTGTGAGAGAGAGAGAGAGAGAGAGAGAGAGGACACACAGGCAGTACAAAGTGACGAGAAAGTTTAGCAGCAAGTATGGTGGATCCTAAATGCTAGATCCCTAGTAGGCTATGGAGAAAAGATGTTTCCTATTTTACTGTGTTTTGAGGATGAGAAGGGACTCGTGGCTTTGTGCACACCGCCCCCCCCCCCAGGGTTGTGCTGTTTGACCAAGCAGCATCCCCAGTCGCCCAGCATCTAGTGTGCAGTAGGATCTCAATCAATAATTTGTTGAATGGACGATGAACACAAGCTGTCCCTTGTAGAACTCTTAACGTGAGAATTTCTCTTTTCACCTATTTCTCATTGACTTTTCCCTGCATTCCTTGGCTACGTTAAGCAGTGGAGTCTGTGTCTTGGTGGGCCTCGTCTTCTGCCTCCCCTGTAGCATGTTGACCAAAAGGGTGGTCAGTATCAGGCTCTTCCCTTATTTCAGATCCTTCTCTTCTTCCCTGCCCCTGGACCTCTGACCTCTGTGTCAGATGCAACTCTTCAGAATGACAGTGTATTGTGTGTTGACAAGTGAATGTATCTGTCACAGTTTGGTTATTGCTGCTGCTGCGTTTTGTCTTGCGCATGATGCTATGGGTCAGGAATTCAGGAAAGGCTCAGGTGGGCAGGTCAGTTGCTTCCTACAGCCTCATGGGTCAGCTGGTGGCACACATAGTGTTTTCTTCCTCTCTGTGTGGCTGGGCCTGCCCCTGTGTGGGGGTCCAGGGGAGGCACCCTTCGCAGTAGAGACTGACTTCTGATGGTAAGGCAGCCGAGAGTACAGCGCTGTTGAACCAAGGATGCGAACGGCTGGCCTGTGTCACCTCTGACAGAGCCTTTTGTTTCCAGAAGTCCAGGCCAGCCCAGACTCAACCAGGAAATCTGGTTCCTTTCTCCTGTTGATGTGCAAGCAGCTCTTGGGGGCAGGGGGGAAGAGGAACTGGTGGTAGCCATTTCACAAATGTGCAATCTTAAGACATGTCTGGTTCTTAGGTTCCTGTGACTGGTTTATACTGAGGGTCTGGGAAGAACCCTGTGTTGTTAGGGCTGAGTGTCTATCATTCTAGAATGTGTGTAGATTAGGGTAGATTTGCATATTAAGAGAATATGTTAAAAAACACTAGGGGACAGAATTCTAAGATTGCATCCTATATAATAGTATAGTGTATAGTGGTACATATAGTGGTCCGGATTCATGCTTTTGCATGTAGATACCCATTTTCCCAACTCGGTCGATGAGGTTATTCTTTCTCTCTTGTTGATTCTTGGAACTCTTGCCAAAGATTATTTGACCATAAATGCATAGGTTTGTTTCTGGGGTTTCTCCTCTGTCCTATTGGTTCTCAAGCCAGCGAGTGACATGCTGGTCTGATTACTATAGTTATATAATATATTTTGAAATCAGGTAGTTTGTTGTTTCTAGCTTCATTCTTCTTGCTAAAGATTGAGAATTAGGAACACCTTAACAATCTTGCAACCTATAAACATTTGTATCCACAATAAATGTAGCCATTTATTGTGTCTTTTTAAATTTTCTTCATCAATGTCTATAATATTCTATGCACATCTCTTACTTCTTTGTTTAAGTTCCTTCCTAAGGTTTATTTCTTTGCTTGCTGATCCTAATGGAACTATTTCTTAACTTTTCTTTGGGACAGCTCATTGTTGGTGATCAGAAATACCAGTTTTTCTTGTATATTGGTTTTTTTCTCTTACAACTTTACTGGATTCCTTTATTATTTCCATTAGGGTCATGGTTTTTGGTGGATATTTTAACAAGATATACAAGATCATCTGTGAACAGATTCAAGTGTCATGTATCTATTTATTTTTCTTGTCTGGTTGCTCTGGCGAGTATTTCTAGTATGATTTTGAATAGCAATATCAAGAATGGGCAATCTTGTCTTTTTCAGATCTTAGAAGAAAAGCATTAGATTTCTCCCATTAAATACAGTGCTAAGGTATGTTGTTTTTTCCATACCTGGCTTTCATTGTGTCAGAGTAAATTCTTTCTACACCCAACAAAGAATGCTGAATTATGCCAGCTGCTTTCACTGCATTTATTGAGCAGATCATGTGTTATTTTAGTTCTTCCATTGCACTGACTTATCTTTGGATGTTGAATCCTCTTTACAGCTCAGAGATAAATGCCACTTGGTTGTGTCTGTGGTCCTTTTGAAGTGCTCTTTAATTCAGTTTGGTCTATACTTTAGTGAAGATTTTTTCATTCATATTCACCAGTGTTCACCAGAGATTGGCCTGTAGTTTTCTTTTGTTGTTTTTGTCTTGCCTTGGTACAAGAGTGATTCTCAACTCAACAGTGAGTGTGGAAATGTTAGCTCTTTTGTTTTTATTTTGTTGCTGTTGTATGTTTTTTGTTTTGTTTTCTTGGTATGTGTACCATCAGTTTCTGAGCTTCTCTTCCTTAGAGAGCTTTAGGTACAAAGTTAAGCTCCTGATTTGTTGTTGTTTGGTTCAAGCTTTGTAGCACTTCTTGATTCTTTGTTGGCAGGCTATGTTGATTTAAAAGCTAACTTGAGGTTCTACTACCAGAGTGATGAGAACCCTTCCCTTCTGGGAAATCCTGGGAGCTAAAAGTGGGTGTCTGCCCTGTGCCCTGCACAGGACATTTATGTTACCTGGTGAGTGGACTAACAAGTAGTCTGACATGTCGCCAACAGGTCCCTCTTTCAGGAAGGTGGTTTGTACTGGCAGGTCCCCTCCGTGGGAAGCTCTTTGGTACTGGTAGGTCCCCTTGTGGCTCTTGTCAGGCCTGTGTCCAGTTTATACCAGCCTGGCCCTTGCTCTGCTGCTGGAAGCCTAACTGTGTTTTTCACAGCCTCTGGGGAACCCTCCCCCCCCCCCCAGGCAGTCCCCACTTCCTCATTGGAAGGTGAAAACCCAGTACACCACTGCAGTAGGAAGTAGCCTGTCTTTTTTTTGTCATCTAGCTAATGACTCATTAAAAAAATTCTACTCCTAATTTTGCTGAATTTTAAAAATTTTAGGTGTATTTTTCATTTCATTCTACTTTAAACAGCTTGTTAAAAATCATTTTAGTTTTAACAAAAGCCTTTGGTTATGGGGTACATTTTTTCATCTCATTATTCTAGTAAATAACATTATTCATAACTGACCTTGCACCTGTAAGTAAGGATCTGTGCCAAAAGCCCTTTTGATTTCTTTTTGTCCAAGTTAAAGGAAGAGATTATTGTTGAAAATAACCCAAATACAGTTTCTTCCCTTGACTAAGTGCATAAAATCAACTATACTGAAATTGTATATTTCTATGAACTTTTTCAAGTATGCCAATGTGGCACATTATTTAAAATGAGCTATTGACTCTTGTATGATAAATTTGTGAAAAATTCAAGCATTGAGAATAATTTTATTATGCCTTTTACTTAAAGTATGTTTTATTTATACTGTTTGTGGTGTTGTATGTGTGTTGGGGAGAACTCTCACATCATTTTAGTATCCTATTATTTTTCTCAGTATTATACCTTTACAAAGCAAAGCTTTTTAAATGTCTTTTAATTTTATTAGTATAGTTTTACATTTAAACTTATTTTTCAGTAATACTCCTTTGTACCATTGCAATCTGTGGAAATCACTGGGTTCACTGATTTATTTCACATTGGAATTGGGGCTTGAACTCTAGTTACAGGTTTGTGTGCATTAACTGGAGATACAAGTCTATGGATTTGTGTACTCAGGCTCACTTCAAACTGAGATCCTCATATCTCAGCCTCCTGAGTGGCTAGGATTACGGGAGTGAGCTACTGGCACCCAGCACTAATTAGTTTATTAATTGCTACTGATTTGATTTCAGAAAGTAATGAATATGGTCTGAGATACCAGATGCCTCTCCCCACACCCCTCTCTCCCTGTTTGCCCCTCTCCCAGGTATATTGTGTTTGCTGTTTTAATAAACATGTCTATTACGTGGAAAAACTATATGTAGCAGTTATTTGAAATTGAATGATGGAAGATTCATCTTAAGACTGACTCTTTTTTTCTTCTTTCCAAGCTTAATGATCTCAAAGGTCTTCTGAAAGAGATTGTGAATAAAATCAAATAAAATGGCCTGAACTTTGGTGGAGAAAGATCTAATTGTAGCAAGGTGCGTTGTTGGCTCTTTGCTTTGACCTGAAAAATTTACACACTTGAAGATTGTTTTAAAGTCATGGCCTTCTCACTTGTTTGATCTTCATAGTGATGTTACTAGAGTAGAAAAGAATGTGTTGAACAAGAAAGTCAACTAACCCAGGGGTGCCCAGGTGGAGGTCTGGGGCCCCGCCCACACTTCCTTCCTCCCTGGCATCTGGAGGTCTCCAGTAAGGCACACAGCCTTAGGAATTCTCAAAAGATTCTCAGCATGATGGAAGCATGCATGACCACACTGTCTTCAGACTTGCTGGTTTTTTTTTTCCTTAACATGGTATCTGAATATTGAATGGGTCCATGCTGAAATCTGTACCTTATTCTCATAATCAATTATTTTCATCATTGCTATGGGATTTTCAAATGTGGGTTGATTTTTTTTTTAACTATCCAGAAGCATTTCAGTGAGGTATTTGAGTTTTAGCAGCAGTAGCTAGCTACACCATGTGGCTCAAATTTAACTCTAGGCTTGGTTCCAGGATCTCTCTTACTGAAAGTTTTAATTACGTTCTCCCATTACCTGTCCACATCCTGAACAAATGTTAAAGATATTTTCAGGGACAGAGGGAGTTAAGGAAAAAAATAGTGATGGACATTGTATTGGACTAGAGATGTTCTAGACCGTAAATTGCAAAGAATGGAAACACAAGGAAGAACTCCTTTGCTCCCTCCCTCTCCCTTTCTTCCTCCCTGCATCCTTCCCTCCCATCAGCACTTACTGAGTTCTGCGGGGTCTGGCTGGCCCCAGCTCTGACCTCTGGCACTGCCAGTGCTGGCAGCAATTACTTAAGCTGCAGAATTTCCCCCGATGGAGTGGTTACATTGCAGGGAAGTCGTGGGGCACCACGTCCCTTTCAGTCTTTCTGGCTACTCAGCTCCTTTGCTTGAGTTCTGATGGTTACAGATCCTACTTAAAGCTCTCTGTTATGGAGGGCTATCAGAGCAAGATGGATGTACATCTGATAGCATGTGAAAGACGGGTCCGGCTTCCTGACACACCTGAGGAGTAGGCATTGTACAGCCAAGGGGAGCACCTCTCAGATCTTTCACAGTGGTGTTTACAAAAAACAGTAGTGAAGTTGTAAGTGTGGCTCAGATCGTTTATCTCCAGCTGAGCAAGCAGGCCAGGCAAGTGAAGGCCCTGAGTGCAAACCTCAGTACTGCCCCAAACAAGCGAACAGAAAACAAAAAATGAACCTTATGGTAAATTTTAATCTGGATTTTGGAAAGCTTAGTGTTTTGCTAAATGTATGAGCTGAGAGGGAAAACAACCAGGAACAGACAAAGCAGTTAAAATGATAAAAAGGCAATTACAGAGTTTTAATAATCTGGGAAGACTCAAACTCAGACCTTCACATTTACCCCTGCAAGAAAGTATGTACCAGTGGGCAAGCAGAATGTCTTCCTTTCTGTCTACCTGCCCTTTGCTTACCTTTACCCTTATTAATATATAGTAAGAGCTAATTGGCAACCAGAAATGGCTTAGGAGAACGACAGTACCTCACTTCAGTGTGCCAATGCATCGAAGACAAAAAGATGTTAAGAAAAGGAACATCTAAGAAAACAAGTTCTCACAAATTCCTCCTCACTACTTCTTTAGAAACTCTGATTTTCAAAGTCCCAAGTTTTGATATGTAGGTTTTGCTTCTAGATATAGGATATTTTTTACATTTTTGTAGTGCTAGGGTTTGAAACCGCACCCTCAGCCAGAGATCACCTTTTTGCATTGGATGGCCTGTTCTTAAGTATTTCACTGAAAATTCAGTTTGATAAGCAGCAGCCAGCTCCCTACCATTCAGATGTCATTCTTCCAGTGTCTCCTCATGCCTCTTTCCCTAGTGGGGTGAGGTACTTATCCTTCCCTGGGACTGTGTCAGGGAAGAACATGTCAAAGACGGGTGAATATGAGCTGGCCCTTGCCGGGGTGGGGCTAAGAGTCAACCCGGGAAAGAGCTGTTCACCAGTTTTCCCTGCCCCTCCCCAATCAGCCTTTGAGCCACTCACCTGGGGAGAAATAAACAGATTGTCTCCATTTTTACTTCTTCTACACTGGTTGAAAAGAAGCAAAGAAGCAAAGATCCAAGGCGAGAGTAGGCCGTGTGGTTCCCACTACCTTTATGTGTGGGAGTGGAGCTTGCCAAGGACAGCAGAAGGAGGGTTCTTGGAGACCGTTGGCTCCCACAGTAACAGTGTGCTGACCCTTGAACTTGTCTCGTGATCTGAAAGCAACACAGTCTGAAAGGTTCCCTAGAAAGGCCCCCTAACACAACACTTTGATAAATTATCATTAACTTATTAAAAATATGCAGAAGCCACTGAGCAAATAAAGCCTTCAGAAACCTTTGAGGTCTTAACCCAGATGGAATAAGCTGAACCTTGCTCATTGAACCTTCTGCCTGCAGGTCACTGACAAACTGGCCAGACTCCAACACCTCATGGAGACAAACATCCTTTGAACTGCTTCAGTACCAAAAGGAAGTCTCTTGACTTTATATCAGATTTATTTTCAGTATATTCCCAGTGTATTTTGAAGCACATCAGATCCTGCCTAAGAGTGGAAATGCAGGCTATTCTTTTCTCTCTTAAAAGTTTTTGTTAGCATAAATTAATTCCGAAAGGGGCTTCCTTATGACATTTATGACATGCACATAGTGTTCTTTGGTCAAACTCACCCCACCCCCTTCTACTTCTTCCTAACCAGAATCTGTTAACAGAATTGGATGTTCTTCCTTTGTTTCCGCAGGTGAAAACAGCCGTTCCAATCAAAAGGGTCAAGGAATGCCTACGAACAGTCCTGTCATTGATTACTCAAGGAGAAAATTTCTGTGCCTGGGGACCAAGCCAGTGGTTCTCAGTCACCCTGGGGGAGCTAAGGCTGAGAGCAAAGGTTGGGATTCCTTAGAATGCACTTCTACCTGAGCGTGCCTGCTCTTGCTGCATCTCAGAACCCCCCACTGATGTCTGTTCTTTCTCCTCCTTTTCCCTTGACCTCTCTTATTGATGACCCAGGAGCTCAGTAGGAGACTGTGAGGTAGTACTTGATCTAGCTTTTGTTCCTGTGTTTTTGTGTATTTCCAGTAGATTTTCTGTTTTCTTTTTTCTGTATGACATGACTAGATCAACACTATATTGTTATAAGTCTCCCAAAAGCCAGACTCTGCTCTTTCCCACAGGGCCTTTGTTCATTTCCCAGAATGCTTGTCACTTGTCATTTGTCCAGATGGGAAGGGGGCTCAAGTGGCGACTTCTTCCTGTCTTAGACGCATAGGACTCTGGCTGAAAGGACCACTACATTCCTATCGATGTGAAAAGTCACCCAAACAGACCCTCAAGAGGCACGTCTGGTTTTCTCCTCTGTGGGTGCTCCTCTTCTTCTTATCTCCCCGTGAAGAACAACACATGGATATTGTAGGAAATGCAGACTCCATAGACAGGCACAAGGAGTAGAAGCAGTCCCCTGCCACCCAAACGCAGCCACTGGTCATCTCTTGGCTGCTTCTGTCAGTCTGGTGTTTTCTACGCATGTGGGATATCCCTTTAAGTTTTTTCCATGATGTCATCATACCGCCTAAACAATTTTGTATAAACGTTTTTTTCACTTAACATTTTAAGTGAAAGCCATTTTCTTCATATTCACAGTATTCCTAAATGTTACATCGGTAATCATGCAATATTGACTCATTAGTGAATCCCATAATATAGGCCATTGACAAGCATTGCCAACTGGCTATTAGGATGGATATCTTTGAGTGAGAATCTTTTTCTGCATTTGGGAAATTTTCCCAGGGCTACATTCATTGGAGTATCTTTTGATTATCAAATCATTTACAAGACCTTTTAATGAATAAATAATAAATAGGAATTATTGCCTTGAGCATAGTATATCAGATTCATGAATATATATCTATTAAAATATAGCATTATATTTAATCCTTAGATTAGGAAGAAGCTAACATCCTTATTCAGACATTATGGACAGTAAAGACATTGTGTGTAAGCTTGAAGAGACGGCCTTTGTGAACTCCCTTCTCTGGCAATTCCAAAATGTAGTGTTGAAATCTTACAAGTCAATTCAAATGCTTATACTTAGTTTTTCAGCTTCAAATAGACTATATTCACAGTGGCTGAAGAAAGGATCTTGGAAGGAAAGCTATTACCAAAAAAACCCCCTACAAGATTGTTAACCACCCCCAAAGAGTTTATCTTCTTTTGGGGGGGGAAAGGTAGTAGTACTTCATAAGGCTCTTCGCAGTTCACATGACATTTGCAAGAAATGAACACAAATGGAAGGTGCTTTTTAAATTTAAACTTAATCGTGGCTCCAGAGAGACTCTTTCTTGAGAGATTCACCACTTCATGGTTTCAGACAGAGAAAACCAAGGGGACAAACCATCAACGAATAGAAAGTCCAAAAATTCTCTTTTCCTGAGAGCATTTCACTTCTGTTTCACCACAGCAACCCAAACAGCTGCTATTTCTGAAGCCACGGGGCAGAAAGTCATGCCCCCTCCACGCTGGCTGGAACGAATAGAGTCTCTGGCACTGAGTATGATAGTGTCCAGAGAAAACAAGCCCAGCCTCTTCTTACCATTGGTTCAAGTGGAGAACATGAATCAAAGTAGTGGATGAAATGTGAAACTCCCAAGAAAACAAAAATGAGTGTAATCTATTTTCTGATCCCTCCCAAGTGAATTTGCCTCCATATTCATATTTCTACTCGCTGTGTTTTTATTGGATTAAGACATGGACTGGGGTGTACAGCAAGGTCAGCAGTGAACAGTCACTCATTGTCAAGAGCAGACCTGGGCTGACCTTAGAATTCACTTGTATTCAGAGAGATCCTAAGACTCTGGCTCACCTCCTCTGCTGGATGTGTCTGAGCGCCTCCACGCTAAACTTCTGCATCTGTAGTTGCTT